TTCGCATTCTGCAGCCACCATATTGAGTGCAGAGTCCAAACAATGGTCCATGATATGATTCTGTCAGGAAAGCACAGTCAATGCAATGTTTTTTAAAGTAACAAAAAAGGTAATGAACACAACATTGTTCAAATCAAATTTGACATGTTTTGAAGTGTTTAGTGTGGAAAAATCTAGTAATTCTTTCAATGAAAGGAGGATTACAGTTCTGTAATCAGAACTGTGACGATGATGATGATAATAATAATAATAATAATAATAATAATAATAATAATAATAATAATAATAATAATAATAATAATAATAATAATAATAATAATAACAACAATAATAATGGAGGAACTGGGTTCCGGTCTAAGAAAGAAATTCAAATAATTGACTATCAAATAATGGTATCATATTGTATGAGTCATCAGTGTCTCGTAATAACAGACCCAGAGGAAAAATAACATTGATCTGGCAACAATGTTGACATGCTGTTAGGCTCTGAAAAAAGAAGGTAGAAATAAAACAAAAATTATTAATATCAGAAAAGTTCAGCTTTTCAGAAAGCCTCGGTTTGGATTTGAGACAAAACAAATCCCTGTGTGATCACACAGAAAATAGTCTTCATGTTTAAAGGGAACATCACACAAACTGTGGCTCATTGGGTTGAGCTTTTGTCTTGGCATTGGAAGATTGTAGATTACAGATCAGGCTGAAATCCTTCCTGACAAAGTTCAAATCCTGGCTTCTATTGCAAATCTGACTGCTTGTTGATAATTTTCTATGTTTTTCAATGTTTGTTATAAAAAAAATGTCTTCAAGAATTTTATACAGTTGCCTTGGTAATCAATCATTTGCTATTTAGCCCAATAATTTATGATTATTAATCCTAATAATCATGAATTTTACTTCAATCCTTTTCCATCCTTGATTTGGAGCTTATCCCAGAGTTATTAGGCTTGGACAAACATATTGAATTGAGGAGATGTAAAAGCAATCTCTATAGGGAGATCAATATGGATTTATACTGATGTTGTCAGAAGATCTGGTTGTTTTCCTGTTCTGGTTTTTCTCACTGCTGACAGTAATGACCCGTGTGAAGCTGTCAATTGAGTTATAGTGGCAGTTATGAAAAGATCTCTTCAATGTAAACTATTGACTTGTTTATTTCCACAGCTCTAAATAAAGCTGACTTTGAAGTAGTGATTTAAAAAATGATCATCTTCATCAGAGTTTTATGCTACAATATAAGTAAATGATGTTATTATAAGAGGGAATTGGTGGGAGGGTTTATCCTGGCCAGTGCTGGACAGCTGCCATGAGTCCTGAAGGGAAAAATCAGAGAATGAGCGTTTTACTCATCTATCTAAACTTCATCGTAAAGATGGCATTCCCCTGTGAAGTTATTTTCATAACCTTATGATTGATAGGAAATTGGAGACCACCAAGTTCCCAAAGAATGGAGAAAGTATTTTTCCCCTAAAAAATAAAAAGTGATGCCGTAGACAGCTGGAGAATGGTGTTTCTGGCTGCATGTGTCTTCTTGCAACTGAGATTTACATTGAAAACGAGATGATGATGAGCCGTGGCTCACAGCGTTGTTTTCTTATTTGAAGATTGCAGGGTTGGTCTTTAGCACAGGTATTATTAAGCAATACCTGACAAAGTACCATGTATCATACTAATGGGGGATTAACAAAGAAACTGTCCTAAGTCAGCATGGACCTAATAAGAGCACCATGTACAAGATTAAAAGATTAAAATGTCATTGCCAAACAAATGAAATGAAGAAACTGGAATGTGAATTGTAATGGGTTTTTTCCTTTTATTCTCCGAGAATTTCCAGTTATGGTGCTTTAAGAGCTGGGAATGGGACAGCATTGTGCGTGTTGCCGTTAAGCTCAAAGCAGACAAGGGGAGGACAGGGCAGGACAGACCCCTATTTTCTGAGGACACAAAGAAAGGAAAGAGGATATGACTACTGAGCTATTATGGTAGCATTAACAGGTCCAGGAAAAGGTAGATGGAGTTACAGCCACAAAATGAAAGCCACAGCAGGTCACACAGACATGCACCACAGAGTCCGTCAGTGTTGAAACTGGCAACATGGGGTTAAAGTAGTCTGCACAGCCTTCTTACAGCACAGCCTCCTGCCAAACAGTTAGCAGGTGAGTTGAGTCCTTCCTTTCATGCATGCTGACTTGTGTGTTGAGGCTTGAGAGTTGGTGATAAATTAGCACACAGTTAAGTGTTTAATTGAAGAAAAAAGCGCCTTATTTTACTTTTGAGGGGTATTGTTACAACTCTCAATTTACTGGAGGGAATGTTTGCCACGACAAAAATGAACCCCAAAGAAGGACGGTGAGCGATTCATGCCAGAAAACTGGAGAAATTCTTAAAAACAAGTTGAAAGTAAAGGGGCTAAATTCAAATCCATAGCAGACTTTAAAGGCTTTTGTGAATCATAAAAAGGAAAATCATTTATTTATGTTTTTCTTTCCCTTTGGAATTAAGCTCTGTTTTTTTTTTTTTTGTTTGTTTGTTTTGTTCGTGTGCCAAATAAAATTGATATCAAATTGAAAACTGTGATTGTAATGTGATAAATGGGAAAAGTTTCAAATAATAGGAGTACTTCCACTTTTTCTCATGCATCCATCCAGACATAGTAGCAACGGGCTTATGAGGAGACACGTGGTGGCTCAGTGTCGAACACCTTCAAACACTTCATCACAAAGCGAGGCTGAGGATCGAACCATTGATCTTCCATTGGAAGCCAACCAAACAACTTCCTCTTCAAATAAACCTTCAAAGAGATTCCATAATCAGGTTTAGCAATAAGAGTGCTATTGCTTTTGCAAAGACAAAATGATTTGTGTAAATGCTAATTAGGGAACTATGCAGCCCTGAAGCAACCTCTGCAGATGAATGACATGATCAAATGGAGAATAGTAAATGCTCAGGGAGGTCAGGGACAAGCTGGAGAATGTTATCTGAATGATTGAATGTAATCAAGGTAAACCTAATAATATTTCTAATAACCATTGCAGTGTTTATTTATTTATTGTTTGTTCACACATACAAACACAGGCATGATCATTATGAAAATGAGAGCAGTTTCTTGTAACCCAATCGAATTTTGAATTTGTCTTCTATTATCTCTCACTGAAGCTGTGTGCGGGTCGGCCCATTGTTCAGAACGGAGCTGCTCGCTGACTGTGGCAGTAAAACAGCTGGCAGGTTGGGATTAAGATTAATTCATGAAACCAACCGCAGTTGATTGGTGGTCAGCTATAACACTAAGTCTTTCTAGAAATACAAACTAACGATAATGTACAGAGATAGTGTACAGTCTGTCATTTATGCCACTGATGTTTAGCCGTCTATGCTTATTCTCCATGTAAACAATAAACATAATCAAATATAAAACAAAATCAGTGACAAAGTTTTTGTTGTCCATGTTATAATCTTGTCAGTTGTGTGCCTTTGATGTGGAACAGTAATCTCTGACGCCATATGGACAGTCTGATGACATGTTGTTTATTGTTATTTATTACTGAGTCTTTCCCGATAATTTTTCAGAATTTTAGAATTTGCAAAGCCCCCAGCTTTAAATATCGGAGTGATTTTTGTAATCTGATACCAAAACATTTGATGTGGAAATGATCCTGTTGTGAATTACTTTTTACAGATAATGGCCAATGGATCTTTCTTGACTAATGTCATATTTTTTTTAATTAATAAAATGAAAAGTTAGATAATTTTTGCATGTTTTAATACACCAACAAAATGGATCTTTTCCAAAGCACCAAGCTTTCACGTCATAGATTCCAAATTCCACACAGTTCAGAGGACTGAAGGGCCTCTGGAGTTGCAGCTTTTAGGTGTTTTTTTTTTTTTTCTGAAACAAAGTCCTACTGCATTGTATATTGAGCTAAACACTTTTACAGGGTGTTCTTCAACTGATCAAAAGTTTCAGAACACTGAATTAAAAGTGGGCGAAAAATATTTCCAGCTGGCTGATTGAAAAGTTGCGCCATGTGGTGAAGATGGCATCGTCTGAAACGATCTCCATTATTGCAAGTCTCTCCTGACATTCATCCCAAATATTCTCAGTGATTTCGGTTGGAGGATTTGGAGGCAGGAATGGCCTCCGAAAACAAGTCAGACAGAGCGATGAACTGTATTCTCAACAGAGTATAAAACTTTCTCTTGTCTTTTATTTCTCCATGTTTTTTCATCCCTTGTAAAGTTACAACTGACAAGCTTGTGGTGGGAAGAAGTTACATCCTACAAATATATTCTTTTTTTAAGCTATTTTCTTACATATCTTATAATATTTTTCTATAGAAACACTAAGAATTTAAATCTTTTTTTCCCACTTTTTTCTGTCCTCTTGTCAGACAAGGATGGACTCTACTAAATCATAAGTCTTCATCATTAAATATTTAAATTACAAAATATGTTATCCATTGATAATAAATACATGATAAATACAATTGTAATATTATTTAACACTCCAAACCTTGTTGTCTGCAGGTTTAGTTTATGTAAAAAGTGTTTGAATCATAGAGGTTATCATTCTATTAATGAGTCTCAGGTGGGGTTTAAGGACCACTTCCTGTTTAAACAAACAGCGTTTCAGAGCTTCACAACGACTAAAATACATAAAAACCATATAGCTACGCTATAAAACGCCTCGCTTATGATCACTGACAAGAAGATGCTTTATCGACCAATAGGACTCTCAGTGATGGAGGAAACTCAAGAAATGAACTCTTGATCAAATTAGAAGGGGAAAATAGAAGACAGGCGTGTTTTCTCCGTAAAATTCAATCTCAGGTCTCCGAGGGCGACAAGGAAAAATCTGATGATGGCGTTATGAGCCAGGCCAGCTATTGAATTGTGCCAAACCTCCCATCCTGTGAGCAGGAGCAGGAGGGGCTGCTGACGGCAGCAGCACCGCTGAGGCCAATAAAAGGAGGCCTGAGTCCTCACTTCATCCCAAACAGGTCAGAGACTCAGCGGCAACTTTAGCTCGGACAGCGCCACCTGACGGACAGACCGATCCAAGAAAGGTAAGGCGCACTTTTTTTTCTTTTTTGTGCCAACACTGTTTCTGGTGAAACGGGGCTTTTATTCAGCCTTTGTTCTGTTTGTGACTCAGATGCAGAAGTGCTTCGGCGTTTTTTGCGTGACGCTCATCTTTTGCGCAACCCTCTCTGAGACCATCGGCCTGGTTATCGCGGTAAGTTTCTGCGCAGTTAACGCAACTTTGTCCGTTTGACGCAATAGCTTCACGTTACCAGCTTCTGTTTGGCTTTAGTTGAAAGTCTAAACATTTTAAACCGATCAAATCTGGATTAAATATTCGAACAAAAACACATCAAACTCACCTCTGTTTGTTAAAATGGATGCTCTGTGACTGTGTTTTTTATCCTTTGACATTCCCACAATAAATATATTTAATTAGAACCTTTTTCTTTTCAAACAGACATCAATGAATTTAGAAGTAGATTTGCGTATTTAAATACACAATTAAACCACTGATAATTTGATTAATTTAACTGTATTAGGTGAAGGTGACTAATTTAGACAAATTCAATCATTTGCCTATTCTAAATCGTATAATAACGTCTTTTTTTCCAGCCATTTTAAAAATGTATTTGTTCATGTTTGACAAATAAATAAATAAATAAATAAATAAATAAATAAATAAATCCAACTCAGCTTTGGACAAACATTACAAGACGGTTAAGGCTTCTGTTAGTAAAAACCTGAATTGAATCAAAGCTGTTGCTCTGTAACCTCATAGTTTAATGTTTAAATGATTGATATTGTGTGAATTATGAGGTAAATATTCAGCTTTCCATCAATTGATATTTGGAGGGTGTTTGGTGGCTATTTTTTGCATTATTTTAAACATTAATCAGACATAAAATCTCTGTTGCTGTTTTGTTTTTAAAAGAAAATCAAACCAGGTCTAATTTTCTTCTCTTCTGTGTCATAACACAGAAAAAAACGGTTGTTTTTCAATGTAATATTTAATACATTGTGAAATGTTTCATACTGATATATCTAGATTCCTTAAAAGCCATGAAAGAAACTAATTTCCAGAACTTACAAATGAAGATAAAACTGCGAAACGCAGCAATGCTAAAAGACTGCTGTGAAAATTTAGGACTCACTTAGCAAAGATGACATTTAGCATAATAATAGTTGGCTGGACAATAAATCAATAATCATCTGCTTGATTATTATTGATTAATCAAACAGTATTCAATATTGAATATTGAATATTCAATTCAATGTTCAACATATAGCTAATCAAGGTGAATGGTTTCAGCTGACTGTGGTTGAAACCTGTAAGTTGTGCAGCAGCTGTTGAATTTTTCACCCCTGTGCTTCTTAACTGCTTTAAAATAAACACTGGGGAAGAGTGAAAATTCAAAAGGTCACTCCACCAGTCTGGTAGTAATACAGATATTTAAAACAAAAATACAATCAATAATTACCAATATCCTGAGATCTGAAATGCTCATACAGTGAAATGTTTTCAGCCATATCATGCAGACCGAGGTGTAACAAAAAATATGTATATTATAGAAAAACCCAACTAAATATATTTTCTTTTCTTATTCTTAACAATAACAATAATAACTAATAACAATAAAGGTTTATGTTATACAACAGATATTAATATATATATTGTTGTTTTACATTTGAAAGTATTCCATTTCTTCTGATATCTGGAATTTAGAGTTCAAATCAGCATCATGTCATCTTTTATTGTTAGAGAAATAAAACGACAGGAAAACCTATGAATGAGTTTGTCCTGCTGTGTTTTTGGAACCTGCAGGCGAAGGAGAAGCGTGGCTGGACTCTGAACAGTGCTGGCTACCTGTTAGGTCCTCGTAAGTAAGACTGCACACACCCCACGACACACACACACACACCCACACCCACACACCAGCTCACATCCATCCCCTATTCTTTGTTCTCTCTGAAAATGTTGCTCATTTAACAAAGTGCACAAAAGAGCTGATGGAGCTCATCTTTGTGTTGATGTGTTTCTTTGTCTGCGTCCATCTTCTCTGTGTATCAGCTAATGCAGTGTAATTTGAAGATGACTTCATTAGCTTCAGAGGACACATTAAGATAACAATGGTCGTCCAGATGTGTGTGTGTTCTTAATAAGGTCCAGTTAGTTAAGAACACAAAGCCTGGACCCTGAGTAGTATGTCTCCGCGTGAGTGTGTGTGTGTGTGTGTGTGTGTGTGTGTGTGTGTGTGTGTGTGTGTGTGTGTGTGTGTGTGTGTGTGTGTGTGTGTGTGTGTGTGTGTGTGTGTGAGGAGCCCAGGTAAAGGTTGCTCCTGCCTCATCCTGTGTTTCAGGTCGTATTGATCACCTAATTCAGATAAAGGATTCCCCCAGTGCCAGAGGCAGAGACGAGCTGGTCACTCAATGTAAGATAGAAACATACGGCCGCTGCAGGGCCTTGGCGAAAGGCCAGGAATTGCTATTTGTTAACATCTTTTTTTGTAAGCTGCTTCTGTTGCTCGTCAGAGGACACATCCTCATGTTTTTCTCTCATGCAGCCATTCTTCTCCATCCCAACGGTACATTTTTGCCGATGCATTAAATAGAAGGAATTGAGTGCATCATGAATAAGATGGAATCACAAAACAAATCTGTAAAACTTCCTGTTAATCTCATAAATAGTCTGATTATTTGTTTTTCTAGACTGTTATAACAAGTGGAATTATATTTGAAAAGAAGAAATAATTAAGTGATAACTAATTACGTAATTATTTTGGAGAGGATGAAGCAGGTAAATTTGAATGGCAGTCATTATTTTCCACTCAGTTTTGCTTAAAGCAAAACTGAGTAAAACCCAGATGAGTGATGTTGGAAACTTCCTGAAAGATACTGGAGCAAATGGGAATTGAAGAATCTTTAAAAAAAAGACCTGGATTAAACAAAAATACATCATTTATAAACAGGTAGAATGGGAAGTGCAATATCACCATTCCCACAGAAACAATAATAGCAATAAATCATTTGACTCCCATCAAAAGCCAACACACAAAAATCATGACACCACTGTCTTCTGATTGTCCTATCTGGGCTGTATATTTTCTTGCAAAATTCTACAAAATATTCTAAACCCAGACATAAAATCTCTGTTGTTGTTTTGTTTTTTGCTTTTACATTTATGTCTATCAGTATTTTTTTAAAGTAACTAAGATTTTAAGATACCAAACAGCTGTCTGTCTCCTAATGCTAAACTTTTCTCGTTGTGACTTCTTGCATATTTTTAGAAACACACATAGCAAATAAAACAATATAAAACAATATATATATTGTTTTGTTGTCCTGGTAACTTCCAAACCCAGATTTGTCCATTGGCATACTAGAGAAAGGTTTGTTTCATCACAGTTGAGAACATATCTCCACTTCTTCCATCGTCGTCCATCGTTGGCTAGTTTTACACCACCACCTTACATTATGTCGCTGTACATTATGGCCATCAGTACTTCATGGTTAAGTTACTGTAGTCATTTCCACATTCTCATGTGGGTGTGGAGTGACTGGTTCCACATGTTGGAACTAAGAGTTACCTGTGTGTGGATGGCAGACATTAGTATCACTGGCTTCTATTATGACCACAGCACAACACATCAACTGCCTCTAAGTGTGATCTGTCTCAGGCAAACAGATTCACTGGAATTGTTTCAATTGGTTCCAATATAGGGACAAAATACTTAAAAAAAAATGATTTTTTTCTTCTTTTTTTTTAAGCATAACCATTTATAAATTTCTGTTAGATATTCAGGGTTTCCCTCCAGTGTATTATAAACCTGGGTTTACTTTCACCAGTAACCCTGAACTGGAAGCGTCTTTGCTGCGTGGAGCTTTGAACCGTCAGAGCAGATTTATTCCTGAGAAAAGGGGTTTATATTTAATGTACTGAACATGAGATGAAGCTGGAAGCATAACGATCAGCTGGCATCTCTCAAGTTCCACTTCTCTCCACTTCTCACTCAAACTGGATGATTTTTCAGGTGTTCTCCAATATTAACTATAAAGACTGTTCTTTCAACTTTTATAAAGTCAGTGTCAAACAATTTCAGATCTATTAATTTATTTGAAAGGATTTAACAGCACTGACATTCTCAATAAACAAATGTTAAATGTCTGTATTTGTGGTATGTATTAAAATGTTTGCATTTATGAGGCCATGGAGATGCCTCTGGAGATGCTTAGTTAATTTATTCCATGGGCCTCAGTGCATTAAAAGTGTTTTTAGGTCTGCTAACTGATGACTTCTTTTGGAAGTGCAAATCATTTCTATTCATTTTGATTGTATTTTAAATGTTTTTTTGGGTTTGTTGTTTTACAACTCTATAGTTGTGTGTTGGCAATGTCTTCCAGTGACATAATTACCCAATAATATTTTACATTTCCTGTCAACTTAATATGTTTTAATACAAAAACATGGTAGATGGAAAAACAGGTTTTCTGGGGGAAACCCTGAACATAAATATTATAAATCACTTAAGACAAATAGCCCCAATGGCTGAATTCCTAAAACAAAAATATATAAAAATATATTTTATTTATTCAAAATATATATATCCTCGGATAAGATGTGAGAATCTGTTGCCTTTTCAATACAATCTATAGCTCTCTAAGTCATTGTTAATGACAATTGCTTTGCTTTTCTGTTTTTATTTTTTAATTGCTGTAGGACATTTTGTGTGTTTGCATTAAAAGTCATACCCTTTCTGTTCTGAGCTTCATTGCAATTCCATGAGCCAAGCTCTGCAGCTGGTCTGTACAAGTTCTAAAAGTGAAGAAAACATTAACAAACCAAATGTAGTGCTGAGTTATCCAACTGTTAATACTGTCCTTGAACTCTTCTTTAGAGAGCATGTATGTATGTATGTGTGTCTGCATGATGCCTCTAAAACAATGGGGTGTTCAGAAAATACTGCTTATCCTCAAAATAGTTAAACTTTTAATTGTCAAATGACATTTTTAGCTGAGCTAGCTTGGAAATCATTCTTCCATTAAGTTGTAGAAAACCAATGTACCGTATTACCAGAGTTAATGCTGTATTGATTAAAAAACTTGACTGCTTCACTGCTTATATGATTACATTTGACTGTGGTCACTCCTCACTGTCCAGACGGAATAGATGGACACAGGACACTAGGAGACAAGGCAGGCCTGGCTGGTAAGAGAGACATGGGCCAGGATGAAGACTTCAGAACAGGTCTGTCACTGTCACACAGATTTTATACTATATTCTGCAACAGATGTTTCTGAAAGTCATTTGTAAGAAGAAAAAAAAAGTCAACTCTAAGGTTTATGCATTTTGCTGCTGTGCCTCTGTAGGTTCCTTGCGAATAGGAGATGAAGACATCATCCATACTGTCATCGATTTCCTATCATACCTCAAACTTAAAGGTATTTTTGAGTTAAAGTGAAACTCATGGGATACTTTTGAAATTATGTCATGATTACTTATATGAAGTAATATGAAAGTGTTTAACTGCCAGAGCTTGGAAATAAATTCAGGGAGAGATGTCTCATTTAAACAAGAAAACTTTATTTTAAAAGAATGAAAATCTTGTCAAAATAACGAAAAGGTCGTAACAGCAATACAGCAAAATCTCTTGCGATTTTTAGATGCTGCCTAAAAGAAACAGTGATGATGGTGGTGAAACCCCTTACTGCCTTTTTAACCAGTTGTAATCTATCAGAGGAGCGTATTTTTACATCTCATTGAAATGAGAAACTTTCTTGTTATAAGACATGCTGCTCCACATTGTATTCCCAAACTCTGGCTGTGAAAACATTTCTGTAATTATCTGGTTAATTCAAACAAGTAATTATTTCACCATTTGGGGGCATTCATCAAGCATGTAAATATTTTTCCACATATCAAATCTATTTAGTAGGGTTAGGCTTCCACTGTTACACGCCCTGTCGAGACATCTCATCTCAAAGGTGCTGATCAACATGTGGCTCTAAAGGAAGCAGGACAACTTTTGTTTGTCTTGTGTGTGATTTCAGAGATGGGAGCCCTGGACAGCCTGTCTTCTCCTGTGTCATCAGATGAACTGGCCAATCCCTAACATCTCTCCTCCATCTGTGTCCTCCAACAGTGTTTCAGATGTTTGACCTCCCAGTTCTCTAAATGTCCAATTATCTTAACTCCATGGGCAAACTTATATTCCCCAACTATACATCTTAGTTATTTCTTTTCCTGTGTAAATAAATCTTTTATCTACTGAAGCCCACTCTGTGTTTGTCGGCTGCAGATGGGTGCAAATATTAAATATTGTTATGTCTATTTACCATTCTGTAACAGGACTGCAAGAATACAGTGGAATGAGCAAATTAAAATAGATTGATGATATGCCTTATTTTATATCCTTGCCTTTGACATTTGAAACAACAACTCATTCTAAAAATGACACAGCTCTTATTTTAAAAAGCAAAAAGTCGTGAGTGATTGAGTTTTGCCTTCTTTGTCCTCAGGTAAGGCAGCGCACACCTGGTGATCAGTGTTAACATGTAAATACAACCAAATTTTACATACTGTAACTTTATTTGATGAAAATGAAAAAACTTAATACAAAATGAAAAGTTTTGTTAATCTATTAACATTTATTAAACCACATGGACATCTGCCCCCATGATTTTTTTATTTATTTATGCAACTCATAAACAGTGAATCCAGAAAGAAAATAATAAAAATATAAAAAGAAAAGAAAACTGAAACTACTTGACGCATTTTGTGATGGAGTTTATGTGCCAGGGGAAATACGGCATGTTCACAATGCTCACATTAAGCATTCAAAAACTGTAATACCATCATTGCACCACTAGATGTCAATGATTTTAAGAAATATTTTTTTCTATAAATCAGAATTTAAAGAAAAAAGAATCTGATTTTGCTATAGCAGTGGTCGGCAAAATAATCTTTCTACTGACGTTTGTTCTTTTTGAGTTGTTTACGTTCCCCTCCTATTTATCGCCTTAGTGACTTAGATATTGGTCAAAAATAAGTAATAAGTAAATAATTTAATGATAAACAATATTGGCTGAAGTGGTTTTGAAAAAAAAAAAATACTGTCCAAGATAGAAGCAAGTGTGTATGGCAGACTATATTACCATTTAATTAGCTTGGCTATTGCCATCCTTCAATTCTGCTCAATTCTCATCTCCATTCAATGCTCCGTTTGGAATTTCTCCCATTGACCTCAATTTCTCATGGTGAGTTTCAACCAGTTTCAACTTCTGAACAAAAGTTGAGAAGAGAGAAGCAGCCATGGTGGCACGCTAATGTGCAGAGGCGCCAGTGGTGTGATTGGTATGCTCCCAGCTTCATGCCATGTTCACTGCATCAACTATGAACCCCTTTTTCAGGAGTGAGTCTGCTCACTCAGTGCGGCAAATACGCTTTACCACTGTAGCTTCTGTCCATGGTAGTCAAGGAATTCTCCGTGGTCCCGCTCACTAAGGCTGAAGAGGACAGACAGGATTCCAGAAACACTCTGCTCTACTGTTAAGTCAGCCTGTAACACAGAAATAAATAGTCAATGCAGGATTTCCTCTGACATAGACAAATTCCTCGGATATAGACCTAAATTTAGATTATGGTTAAATATAGTATCAGCTGTGGTTGCAATCATAACATTGATTCAGTCTATAAGTCACCGACTAATTTTTGTGTAATTTACATTTCAGACTTCGACATGGATTCAATATTTCTGCCAAATCACATTTCAATGCTCATTCACTCATATTTTGCTGTCTGGGTCCCCAAGTGTATCAGTACAACACCATATAGGATTAACCTTTTTTTAAAATTGTTGAAAGAAGCCCAGAGATTGATTTCAATCTAAAGACTGCTTACATGAGGTCCTCCCATGTCTGTCCTCACCCAGCCAGGGTGCAGAGACATGCAGAGAATTCCACTGGACTCCAAATCAGCAGCTAGACACCTTGTCACCATGTTTAGGGCTGCCTGTGCAAAATAAACAAAAATATTATTTTATTCTGTTGTTGTGACTCACAAAAACATATAAAACAATTTTATTGCATCATTTCACAGTGAAACTTAATGCAAGTGGATATATGTATTACATCCTCATATCAACCAAATCTACCATCTGTATTTTGTAACTATTTCTTGTGCATGTTCCGACCTTAGAGGTACGATAGGCATAGCTCCTGAATTTGGCGGCATCCCCATAGTTCAGTGTGATGGAACCAAGGACAGAGGACATGTTGATGACAGCTGCTCTGTGGATCCCCATCCCACCTGACCTGGCAGCAGCAGTCTCCAGCAGAGGCATGAAGGCCTGAGCAAAACCAACAAAACAGCAAGAACAGGTTGCAAAACATAATCAATGTCAGTGCTCCAGAAAACCCAAAAGGGCAAAATACACTGCCTGAACAACATCATCTGTAAAATCAAAAGATAAGTGCCTGAGGTGCCCAGAGCACACACTGACTTTTCCATGATTATATAATTTGTACATGAACATCACAAACAGGTTCAGTGGCAAGGAGAAACCCTGGCAGAGTCCAGCTCTGACGAGCTTGAAGCTTGAGTTTGACAACAGAATACAAACAGCTCGTATTTTGCTCGTCCCATTTACAGTGAAACAAGAAAATGTCACCAAGACATTTCATACTCCATCCATGAAAGGTTTTTTGTCCCGTTAAAACACACTTACTTGGTGAGCAAAAGGTTGACTCATTAACAAAACACATACTGTAGTTTAGTCCACACTATCATACAAAATCAATGAGGAGTCACAGGTCAGAATAAGAAGAGTTGAATTGCTTTAAAGGCATACAGGAACATTATGGTCCTGTATGCAGAGGAGTATATCAGTTTTCAGACTGTTAATGTTGTCCTCTCACATGGCTTTTCTCAGGTCATGTTGCCTTTTTGTGGTACTTTTCTCTGTCAGACAATGTAGCCTTGTTAAGCATACATTTTAATGTTGAGCTGACCACCAAATTCTCCAGTTCTCATTAGAAAGTTAATTGTAAATAATTTATGTATTTGTTGGTTTCATACATAGTGGAACATTTGCACATTTTATTTGTCAACTTTGGTGTTATAGAATGGAACAACTCTCAATGTCTGAAATAAGAGGACAAACTCTAGTGGCACAAAATATTTCCCTAAAAGTTTATAAAAAGAACCACGCATAAGAAAATATGTTTTGTTTTTTGTTTTTTTAATAAAATCCATGCATTTTATTGCATTCAAACACATAACATACATACAGTCCTATTTTGGTATGAGGAACATAGCATTTGGATCTTCCATACCTTTGTTACAAAGAGTGGTGCAACACTGTTGACCTGGAACATGGACATCATTGCCTCTGGGGTTACAGTGCTGATGTTAGTGGAGAATCCAATGGCAGCATTATTAATCAGGCAGTTGAGTCCTGAGTTTCCCACAATAGACTGAACATGTTCAGAGGCTGAACTTATGCTCTGCTCACTGCTCACATCTGGAATGAACAGAAACATGAATGTGCAATTTACAAGTTTTTGTAAAAATGTTTTTGACACTAGAAGCCTGTATTGAATCGTCACTTGACAGGAAAGAAAGTTAGAGAGAGAGGAGCCTGCAGAAGGAGACATTAAAGACAATTCACAGTCTTTAATGTGTTTAAATATACATCCATGACTGACTGTTTGACCATTAAAGGGTTTGACACACAGCAGGCAACATCACTCCTTCTCCATTAAATTCCTATAAAATGTGAGTGATGAGGTGACAATTACTTGCCCTTCTCCTACAAAATTTGTGCTTGTGAAATTTTGAGCTACATACAGATGTGCAAAGTCCATGAGACAAGAAGGTTGAAAAATGTCAACTTCTTGTCACTGCTGTTGCTATTGAGTGTGGCGTCACCCTAGGTGTCCTGGGGCCTCAGCTACACAGCGTGCATAAATCAAAAACTGTTTGATGTACAAATGAGTATGTCAAAAAATTACTGTTACATGAAAGTTTGTGAAAATACAAACGTTTTACCTGAATATGTGTGGCAGTCAAACAAACAAACATATTGTCAATTACAAAATCCAAAACTTACTTTAATACAATGTCAATGAAATGTGACTCCATTCAGTGTTATATATTCAAGTGGAATTGGAACCAATGTTTTTTCACTATTTTAACATTTGAAACTAAATCACAAAACTGATCCCATTTAGCCACATACAGTCTTGTAGCACACACCACATTTATGAGAAACCCTCAATAAATGACTACTAAGTAAACAGAATATTTTCTCTGTTTTTGTCTGATGTAGATGTACATGTGCATCGGTTTGGGCACAAATGAGGATGAAATGCATGTTTTCTGAGGCCACTTTCATTCTCACTGAAAAAGAAAACAGAGTTGGATCAGTAGCTTAACTCCAAGCAGGTCAGGTTTGATGAACCTTAAGGAGGACAAGGTGTGTACACAATGTCCTTGTGCAACTGCCTAACAAAAAGTGGCATGCTGCTCTATTCAACACACGATTCCTTACTGTGGAATAGCTTTCAACAGGATGTTTATTTCCACTTACTGGCTCTCTGCCTGTTTTTTAAGTTCTGACTGAAATCTCAGCTGCTCGAAGAAGCATTTTCATTTTGATTGCTCAGTGAGTCTGATCATTTTACTCTTTAAATTTTTATGTGTTTCATTCTTTAAAAAATATGTCTTTTTAATCACTAACAGTTGGAAAGCAGTTATTTAGATGTGTGGTAAGTCTTTCGATATTTATAACATTCTACATATGTATTTATGGGCAGGAACAGAACAGTCCATGCGCCACCTGCAGCTACGTCTATTTCACGCAAATTCAGTTTTATGAAGGAACAGTGCAGAGCCAGATGTGTGCACATAATTTTATACACTTGACATTTTTTCTGCGCTGCAATTTTTAGATTATGTTCCTAGAGCCAACTTTGAAAGCTACAGACCATTGGGGCCCCTTTAAAGTATCGGCTTTCACTGTTATTTGTTGATTCCCAGATGTCAAACCCATAAAAAAGAATCAGTTCTTCAGAGACTGACGTTTAACTGATGTAGAATTAATTAGACACCGGATGAGCAAATTATTTAAAGTAATTTTTCACCACCAGTTAGAAGGTTTTAGATAATGTTATTACAGCATGTGTCCATTATTCATACCAATAGCCTCAGAATTTAAAGCACACCCCTCGATCCGTTCCACTCAAGCAACTTTGACCCACAATCATAGATGTAATGTGGGTTCATATGGACTTGGGCACTGGGATTTATTTAGCTTTGTGTTTTCACACTAAAACTTTGTTGTCCTCATTCATTTAAGCACTGCACAGAGGACTTCATGAAGTTCCTGAAGGATAACATTAATCCAGCTCCAATGAAACAAAAAAAAAAAAATTATTCTAACTGGTGGGTTCCACCAACACAGGGATTTTAATGCTGTTGATGAAATATAAGGGATGGACAAAGTACAGACAGACTTACCTAATGTAACAATATGAAGACCTGAATGTGTTTTTGACAGCTCCTGCAAAGCCTAGGGAAAGGAAAGTCAAGTTTAGCATTTAACGTGTACTGTATATACTGCATGTTTTGTAGTGAATTACACTCAAAACACAGTCATTTTTGTATGACATAAAATTTCTTTGATGAACATTTAGCCCTGACAAGTAAAAGCATTTTCACACAAGAATGATTGACAGCGCTAAGAGCTTGTTCTTGGTTCTGATCAGATGTGCATTTTTGCTTATGGCAATAGCAGCAACTAGCTTGCACTGTGTTTGCATTCTCGTTTATCCATAACAGTACTATGGAAAATATGTTGGAAAACTGCACTTTTCCCAAGTTCTCTGCATACTGAAGAAAAAAAATAACAAATATAGTTTTTATTAATTATAGGGTTTCGCATTTTATATGGTTTAGTTGTCTTATTGATGTTGTTTGTTCTCTCCAGTGGAGGCAGACTTAAGTGAGAGACTTTATTTCCAATTATTTCAATGTTTTATAAAAAAAAACAAAAAACATTACCACTCAAGAAACGCAGCATGATTTTATCATTCAAATTGTATGCCATCATATTCATGCAATTAAAAGCAATTTAACCCAATTAATCCACCAAAGTGGGACGTGCTGTTGGCCAAAGTTCCCGGATGTGTTCTTGCCATCACATTCCATCCGTCAGTTGGGGTACCAGTATCAGTTGCCATGGTGAAGACACGAACCAAAAAACGAATCAGCTTTGTGACACAGAGAGCTGTATTTCACTCTTTTATCCTTCTGAAATCAGACTATCCGACATTGCTTTAAGAAATAAAAAAGGTAAGCATGACTTCACGAGCCACAGCTAGTTACAGGATCTTTGTGAAGAGAAGAGGTAGGAAAGAATCAGACTTTATGCCTTACGGACCGTATTTGAGCCGTTGGGTCCCGACTGTGAATGTAGTCAGTGTTATCGGTGACAACATAAAAGAGCCAAACTAAATGAGCAGCTCGGGTCGTTACCGCGGAAGCAGCAGGGTCGCGGGCTGTCGCTATGATGGTAGCGGGCCTGTTGCTGCTGTTAGCCAGCTCTTTAACCAGCTGCAGTCCTATCCCTCTGCTGGAACCTGTTATCAACACGGACTTCCACACACCCTGACTCATGTTTACTTCTGACAGTTCTTCTGGAACAGTTAGCCAACCTTTTCTTCTTTGACATAATGTCATAACGTTGTTCGCACATTATACTGCCACCACCTGGAGAGAGGCAGCTACTGTGGGAAATAACTGCATTTCAGCCGCATGCAGCAAACTCGCTGTTCAATATTGTACCTGGTTTTGCGTCGCGTTCACTGCACACGAGAAACCACAGTTTAAAAGAGATTGTAGGACATGTTACAGCTAACACATTTCAGTTAAATTTCATAAAACATTTGTAGAGGATTTATTAAGATACATTTCAAGCTCTATGTTGACATGTGTTCCACATATCTGCTGACGTTCAGAAGTTATTGGAGCTTCGTTGTTCCCCTTGGATCATCTGATCAGAGGTTGTTGGTGAAACAACAGTCACTTTAAACTCGTCTTTCAGATTGTGGCCCCTAGGCTCTGCATGAACTCCACTGAGTTGCGAAGCAGCTAAAGACAGTTATTCCAACATGTTTTCACCCAGGCTGCTACATTTGGTCAATTTTTTTGTTCTTGTTTTTGCCTTTGTGAAGCACTTTGTGTTTTTAATGTCTGTGATAGGTTCTATATAAATCATTTTTACTTACAACATCTCATTCACTCGACAAAGGTGAAACAAAAATGAACTAAGGCGAGTGATTAACTAAGAAAAACACAGAAAACAAAATCCCAACCCAAAACACCAGAGTTCTGACACTCATCCATGTCACCAAAGATTATGTGAGTTGAAATGAGCTGATAAAAGTAGACTTTACAAAAGACAGAAAACAGAATCACCTAAAGAATCATTCTTCTGATTTCAGGACAAAACAGGTTTCTGCGTGGGCATGATGAACCAGGCTTTGACTGAGCCGAATTCTGGACAGTCAGCACAGGTCTATGCTGAAGATGACAAGCCTCCTCAGAAAGATCCCTGCTCTGAAAAAGAGAATGTCCATGAAACCTGTTCTACTATGATTCCTGTTGGAGCAGGAAGTTGGGGTGATAGCAGTTTGTCATGGATCATTCCCCATACTTATCAACAAATCATCTCACCAGATATTCTAGACCCATTCAGCTTCAGGTACTGTGACATTATGTTTTATCTCCTGATAAGTGATTTTGCTGCACTGCTGTACCAATAGGGTGGATCTAAAAAAATATTCACACCATTTATTTGTACTTTTTTTTTTTTTTTGCACAAAATCTAAAAGACGTTGTGGACATTCAATTAATGAGTCACCTCAAAGTTCTTTGATGGTAGTAAAATAGCTATGATGTTTGATTCTGGGGAAGAAAAAGCAGGAAACAGTACTTGTCACAGCAACGACAATAAAAACAAGTCAAAAGCAAATTAGTCCACAAATTAAGTTATGAGTTTTAGAGCCATATTGTTCAGGGTCAGTGGTGGTTCTGGTCGTGGGCAAAATGGCACTCTGCCCATACACCAAAGCCTTAAGGGCAGAACAACCATCAAGGAAAAAATGTCTTTCCATTGCTTATTTGCATGAACATAATAATACTGGTGGCAGCATCATAATAAGGTTGTGGGTTTTTTTAGAAGAAAACTGTTTTTTTTAAGGTAGATGAAATAATGAACATTTTAAAATTGTTTTTGAAATGAAACTTTCAGGTTAGGTCACTCGGAGAGGACTTTAGACGCGAGGTGTCATGCTAGGTGGCAGATTTGGAGGACTTCTACGAGACTTATTGGAAAAATAGTATAGACCACATGGAATTAAATGCTAAAGTTCAATCGAAGGTTGCTCAAAACAAGTATTAATTAAGGGTGGCCACATTTTATAAAAACTTATGCTTGCAATTTTGTTTTTCAGTGATAGTAAACACATCATATTACAGATGGAGAAAAAACAGGAGATTATTCTTTATGGTCTAATATTTTACTTTACAAGGACTTTACTTTTTAACAGGGGTGTGTTTGCTTTTAAGATCTACTGTATAAGAATCTCTGAATATACTTCTAAACTGCCCAAGTTGTATTCATCTCAGATTTGAGTATCCATATCAAGCCATGCCGTGTCAGCTGACCTACCAAAACTACCACATGGAAACCCAGATGAACCAGAACCAACTCCCTGCTGAGTATGTCTTCATTCACTTCTCTCTACAAACATAGCTTCTCTAAAGACATGCAGTCCCACAACTGTCCAACTTCAGCTACAGTTTATTTTTAGTGTACATTGAACAAACCTGATCATGGGCAATGGGACAATATATACCATTGTGATGTGTGGGCTCTGCATCCTTAATACATCATTGTTAAAAAGTTGAGTGGTGCTGTAGTTGGAATCTAATGGTGACTTAAATTACTCTGATCTCTCCAGTCCTAGTCCTTCCTACAGCAGCCACCTCGACTCAGCCTCTACCATTTGGTCGAATAAGGAACCAGTTTTCTCCAATGTAAGGGTTAGTTCAAACATTCGGCATCAAGTAATGACTTAACAGATTTAAGCAGATTGCATACATCTGTTTTTATGTTTCCAAGAGTGTGAGGTTTCCCTGTGTTCATTCAGGTGGATTTATACAATCCTGTACCCATGGAAAATCTGCAGTTTCAGCAGCAACCTAATGAAGTTGCATCTCACATCACTCAGACTGTAAGTGTTGCTAAATATTTTCAATTTGGTGGGCAAAAGTGTATCTGCAAACATTATGACACACAGATCAGTAGATTTCTGTGTCTAAGAGTATATATATATACAATTCAAAATTAAAACAGACAGATAGAAACTTTATTTCAGACTCCAGGACAAACTAAAACAAAAACAACAAAATAAACAACCAAATCAATTGACATCTGCTGTCATCTAAAGATTAGATCAAATTTAATATAAAATGACATAAAAGGTAATAACAGACAACTGTGCCAGTGTTTCCACAGCTATCAATGGTATAATGTACAGCTCAACCATGGGTTTATTAAGGTCATGATACTTTTATGTTCAGATTCATTGAATATAGATATAAATTTGAACCTCTCGCAGTCTTATCAAAACTTCAAAGTCAAAGTTAAAAGTTCCTTTAAGTTAAAAATGTGTAACTTTTAAATTAATTCAACACAAAAAAGTAAGTTGTTATTATTAAACCAAAAGGATTAAGTGAGATTAATGTAAATAAGTCCATTACATGAATTACAGCCCAAATCAACTTTTTAGAGTGTACAACATTCCCACATGTTGTACATGTACAGGGGCCAGAATTAAAGTAGTAAAGATAACCTCTTTTTAATTGTCAGGTGATGTATGACGTCGTTGGAGGTGGACAAGTAGTGCTAGTTACTCCCCCCGAGGCAGGACCCACATATCTGTCCCTGGATTCTGCAGAAACACATCAACACAATAAAATGGCCCCAGGTGAAAGTTAGGATGAACTGAAATAGCAGAGATTATGAAACTGCTTCAGGCTTCTTCCCAGAAGTTTAGAACTGGCCTAAGATTCTGGACTAATGCTGCCATACCGGTTAAACGTAATAAAATGCCTATCCTATTTCATTTCTAGCAGCTGTACTTGATTTGTTTTCTTTCACATAGCTTTCTTAGGAAGCTATGTTTTCTTTGTGATAAGGTCTTTACTGGAAAACAAACAGGCTGGAACAATCCAAGTGAGATAGTATTGATTATACAACCAATAAATAATATAGTTTATAATGTGCATCTCCTTGATGTATCAAAGACAGGAACCTGTAGAAGAACAGAATCACATTAGTGCCAGTATCGGTTCTGAATGGAGGATCGTAAGGTAACAAGAACAGAGACTACAGTCTTAACCTCGTATGTTTGGATTGCAAGTCAGGATTGTAATAAGAAAAAGAGCCAGACTCAGTCATTTCCAAGGTGCAGGTGCCTAGACACACATATTAAAGAGGGACATCTAATCTCTTAATATGACTAAAAGTGTTAACTAAAAAAAATATAAATTTTGAAGTAGATAGAGTCTCATAACTCTTCAATGTTTTTAACAGTTGCCAATGTGTTAGAGACTTCCAAACAGGTAAGAGAATATTTATGTACCGCATACTGTGCCATTTTGAACTTGTGAGTCTTTAATAGTTATTTTTCCATATCCATTTATTCAGTGATGTATTTGTCCTCAGCATCCTGAAAACCATCAGACAGCTTGTTCTCTATATGAGTGCAGAGTTCAGACAACCAACATTCAGCCTCAGGCCTCTCTGCAGAGGTAAGATTTATGGATGTTAAAGGTTTTTTGAAATAATAATAATAAAAATAACAATAAAATTACTGTTTTTCTATAACTATTTTTGCTATACTATATATATCTATATCTATATATATATATATATATATATATATATATATATATATCTCTATATATCTATATATATATATATATATATATATATATATATATATATATATATATATATATATATATATATATATATATATATATATATATATATATATATTATATATAAATATATATATAAATTCTTATTAAAAAAGTAAAAAAATGAACAGTAAAAAATTGTGGCAATGTAATGTTTAATGCATCTGTTGAGATCATTTACATGTTTAATTAGTTTTTAAGGTGCAAATCTAATCATTCTTTTTGATTTTGGAAAATGACATTAAATGTGTGCAAACCTGAATATATGAGACCAATAATTATAAATCAACAATATGTTTCCTGCCTTACCTGCAGCTCTATTTTACCTGATTAACAGGCACCGATGGTGTTAGATAATTTACCAGTATATTTAAAGTATTGCATTAAGAAGCTTTCAACAAAAAAGACAAATTAAATGGCCTATTTGAATAGTCTCCCTCCAATTATTAGTATAATCTGGCTATGATTTAGTATTTTGTGCACTGTTTTTGAATAACTTTAATTCTATGTTTAATTGTTCATGAAGTTAGATGGAACATGTGTTACCATATACATTCCCTGAATCTTACAATTGTGTCTCTTCGCTGCATAGGAAGCGCCTGTTTGAAAAGGTTTTAAAAATATAGTTTTCTTGTCTGTGTTTCAACAAAAATGCTACTCATAAAATCAGGTTTTCTGAGATATTTCCAACCATGAAGGCAGAAACTGAACTGAACCCATTACTCCTACTAAGCGAAGACCATTTAAAATTATGTAGACAGTTGGACAATATTATAAGCAAAAAAGATGAAAATCATCTAAAAATTAATGTTTCCAACTGGAAAATGAAAAAAGAAAATTCTTAAAAAGATTCAGCACTTGTCATAGAACTGGCTGTAAGTTTTAGATATCACAGAATTAAGTCTAATTTAGAAATTAATGTAATTAATGTGAGCAGTTATTCTAGTCTAGCATCTAAATTCAGTTAAACTCATGCTTTTGTTTTACAAACAGGATGACTGTACACCAAAAACATTTTTACATTATCAAGTCATGGAAGGCATACTTTTTAAAATCTATATTCAATGTGATGCATTATGTGTTTAGCATGATCCACTGTTAAACTTGGTAATGCACCAGTTGTTTCCATTTCTGCCTCAAAAAGCCCAAACTAACTTTACTATTGTAAAATTTCTATCCAGGTACCAACGCTTTACTAAGCCTGAATATGTCAAATCAAAGTTTATTTATGTAGCACATTTACAACAACCTCAGTTGACTAAAGTGGCAAAACAAAAACTATTTCATTAAGTCTGGTAAAAATAATAAGAAAATTATAAAATATCAAAAATATGACTAAAACCCAAGGCATACTTAATTTCAGCTTCAGCAATATTTGTTCTGGTGAACTGCCAAGAAGCCACTCCCCTTTTGCTGCTTCTTTGTGCTCTGCCTGCTACGGATGAGAACCAGGTGGAGTCAATCTTCTGGCAATCGGAAAAGTGTATTTTAGGTGTGGCTGACCTCTCACTCTTGTTTGAGAGAGTGGCACAGCATGTGTGACAAACAGTGCTGATCGCATGCAAACTGTGCAAATCTTTAAAAAACTGTGAAGGACAGCTGGTAAGCTCCTAATACTGTTTTACATGGACTTTAACTGTTTGTTTTAATGGAAAAAAAAGAAATGTATATATTTATATGCACTTGGTGTTTATTAGTTAAAGCAGAACAAATATTGATAGAAAATGCTAATTTATTTGTGTAATTTTACTATAAAATGCTTAATATTTATTATCATGTAGAGTTAAATGATTTAAATCAGTGGAAATTTATTTTCAATTTTCACAGTGTATTTGGCCTGTTGAATTCACAATGTAATTTAAATGTTTCTGTTTCTTTTGAGGGTTTTCACCTGTATGATTGGAGCATCATATAAAAATAAATATAACTAAAATGAAGACTCCTTGAGTGAACCCCAGTTATATTTCACAAAAAAGATAATCCTTTTCAAGTTGGGAATGCAAGGTGAAATCAAACCAAGAGAAACTTGACAATAATTCTAAAACAAACTTGAATCAGTGAAGTACTCATTTTTGTTGTTGTTGTTGGTGGTGAAAAGCAATAGGAAGCCAAGGAGGGGTCTGCAAAAAGGGTAATAGATTCATATCTTTCTGTTTTCGGCAGAAGACGGGCTGTACATGTTGTATGCTCTGCAGTTGCTGCAGTGAGCCCTGGTCTAACAATAAATAAAAAGAGTTACAATAATCTAAACATGATGTAATAAATGCATGGAATGCAAAAATGCCCTCTCAAAATCAGGCAGAGGAAGATAAGATCTTATTTTATCAAGATCAAAGCCAGTTTCTGGAAGACACTGGCTTTGATATTAATGCTAATATGCTTATCAAATTTAACCATACAATTAACCACAACAGCCAGATTTTTCACTGTCATGTCTAAGCAGGGGATTGCATTGACCAGAATCTCAGTTTTTTACTTTTTGAGGTTTTAAAAAAAATGCTTTCAGCTATGCCTTTTCATCCCTAAGACAATCCTATATGTACAGCAGACTGGCTGGTTACAGATAGATTTGAATCTCTCCAGTAAAACAAAAAAAGAAACTTTGTGCTTTAAAAAACACAAGCATCTATTTTTGTCAGAGGACTGAGCCTGGCCTATATTCACACTGATGCCGATTTAAAACTGGCTTAAGTTGACTTTCATCCTTTACCCCTGTAGATCTGTTGGAGGATTGATGGAGTTGAGATCCAAGAAGCCCTGCCACTGTACAAGATCAAGGTGCCTCAAACTGTGAGTCAACCATCTTACATTATTGTCTTCAACTCTAAAGTAGCTGAAAGTTATTAACTTTTACCTAATCACCTTCCTCTACTCTAACTCTTTGTTTGAGCTGAAAATGTTGTTTGTGATCCATGTCTTAAACAATTATTATTCTTAATTATTATTCAGGTGTGACAAATATTTTCTCCATGTTGTGTCAGGCCAAATTGGAAATTTATGTTAATATTACACTTAAATCCTGGCCTTAACCAACAGAAGCCCAGAGTGGGGCGTTAAGTCTCTCCAAGGATGTGAAACCAAAAAAACCTAAGTTTTACCATTAACAGTACGTACCTAACTCTAGCTTAAAGTAAACTCAGTTTACACTTTAGTCCTAAACCTAACCCCTAACTCATATACAGCAGTTCTTCTTAAGGAGCCAGGGCACAGAAGAAGCAGAGAAATGGTTCTTACAATGTATCAAATTCAAGGCCACATTCACGTGGGAACAGCATGAAGGGATTTGGTGTGATTTATTTGAGGTTTTTATGTCTTTCAGCTACTGTGAGTGTTTCGCCAATGGGGTGATGTGCAGCAACTGTGACTGCTCTAACTGCCACAACAATGAAGAGCATGAAATGAAGCGTCGTGAAGCAATCAAGGTTTGACAACCCAAGTTCTCTTAATTATGATTTATTTGTAGGACTAGAGTAACTAGAGTATGCTACACCAGTAGTGTCCAAGTATTTAAACATCGATGTGCTAGTTGCAAATTGCTGACAATGTAAGATACCATATATCATTCTAATCATTTGCTATGGCTTGTTAAATAGTTAATCAGTTGATTATAGTTAATAGTTAATCAGCCAATACCACGGCAACCACTCAATACGTTTAAATGTTGTCTTGCTGAATTTGGGGGGCAACCACTGGTCATTCCAATTGGAACTGTTTGAAACATTTTTCTCTTGAATCTCATTTTGTTTTCTGGTTTTGCAGCTACGTAACCCTAATGCCTTCAAGTCTAAGCTTGTTGATTGGAAGACAGGAAAGGCCAAAAGTTGGAACAACAAAGGCTGCAACTGTAAACGTTCAGGGTGCCTGAAGAACTACTGTGAATGCTATGAGGTAACTCCAGCACACACACCACACACCCCAGGGTCAAAGAAGTCTATGTTTGTTGATGTAACTCCATTAATAACTTTTTAATAATATTTTTATATTAAAAAATACATTTTTTTGTTCACATTCTTGTGTTGTTCTTCTATTTGTATATGTTGAGTTCACATTTTCTCACAAAGTCTTGTTTATTTTGATTAACTAAGTAATTATATCACAAACACCTTTCTTAGAGAGTCAACTAGCTCATTTATAAGGTGCCAGAAATTCCACAATTGATAGTCGGGGTTTGGGGGGAATCAAAGTGCAATTCAGCAGAATACAATTTAATAAAATATGACAAGCAAAGGCAAACTGAAGACAAATGTTTGTTTATATCCAAATGAACAAAAAATTGTGATAATAGCTAATAATTTCTTAAATGGCTTTATTCAGGGTGCTGCATCAAAATAATCCAAAAATGTTTGAAATTTGTGTCAAATCAACCTAAAACTAGACACTGACTCCAAGTTCTGAAATCAAGTGGAATATCACTCAGTAAAGTGATTGTTTAGGAATATTAGTAGTCAAACATGGTGCTGCTACACCATGCTGAACTGAGGAACATGTATCATGACTATTTTTTGTAGAGTGTAATAGTATTTTTTGTAGACACACAATGGTTACCAGTTTTCAGGATGAAAACATTGTGTATAGTTGAATTCTTTGAAGCAGCATCTTCAATGAGTGCTTTAAAGAATTGCATCTTTAAATAAATACATGAACCATCTCTCTCTGACAATCAGATGGAATGATTTAAGGCCTTACACCAGGTTTGCTGCTGGCTCAGGATTGTTTCTCTTCAGCACAAACACAACACTCAAGAGACAGAAAATAGATTCTCAGGAACTGAAGCAGAGTAATCACTTACTTAATATGAGGAGACATTTTTCCATTTAAAAATGAATGAGGCCTGATTAAAAGTATTCATCACAGTTTGTAATTTGCTGCAACTACTGACTTGTGGACCCGACTTGTGGATATCTGACCAAGAAGTGATTCCTACATCAGTTTTACTCTTCATCATGTCATCCCAGACTGGTAACTAGAGTCATTTTGTGATTTCTGCTGTAAAACATCAGAGCCTTCTGAAAACATGCTGGAGTACTGGGGGAAATACAGAAATGATTAAATTACTTGATGACATGTCAGCTTTGTGATTTACATGTTTTGGCCAATATTTAAATGACGCCATTTCAAATTAGCAAAAATCAAGACAGTTGAAAAAGCAGACAAGCGTTGTCAGAATCTGGTTAAAAAGGTTTCAATTAAAAACTGTTTCATTTCAAGTATTTCTGAAGGAAAGATTGTTGCCAGAAAGAAAAGCATGTCCCTTCGGTTTGTGGTTTTCAACGATTAACCTTGAAGAACAATTTCTGTTAGATCTGTGGTTTTGCTTATTTTCCACAGTTTTAACAAACTTTGATAACGCATAATAAATATAAGCACATTATTGTGGAATGAACTGACATATCACATTCTTATTTCATTTGCAGGCTAACATCCAGTGTACTTCCAGCTGCAAATGTATTGGCTGTTTGAACCATACAAACAACTCTCAAGTGGGCCCCAATGGAGATGGGGGAAGAGTGAGGAACAGGTGAGTCAGTCAAGTTTAACTCTGAACATTTTGTGGCTAGTTTTAATCTGAAAGGTTGACATTTCCTAAGAATTTTTGTGTATAAACTTATGTGTATATACTTGCATTAAGCGACTTCTTTGAAGATGTAAATCACCTAATTTAACTAATGTTTGAAATTTAACAGGTATTTTGGAGCGATTTTCAATCGGCCTTTAATAATGTTTGGTCATTCTATATTATTGATAATCAGCTTCCTGCAATGCAACAATGAAAACATGCATATTATGTCATGGGATGTCTATCACGCTCAAGTTTACAGAAATAAACGACATACTTTTTACTCAAATAAACCAGTTGAAGTCATTCTTTCATACTGATTGTATTATGTTTTTCACAAACAAATAATCTGCATGATATTTGTTTGCTATTGTGAGTGAGTGCAGTCCTGTATCAAATTTGCTGTAAAACTTGGTGTTGTGCAGCCCATCAGGAATACACTGCATTTAAACAAATGAATGGGAAATATAGCCTTTATGATAGTGCTAATAGTTACCCATGTGTACAATAAATGAAAAATAAAAGTAAATTTTTATTTTAACTGATGTGTATAGCCCCTCTTTTGTATGTGTGTTCTCAGATGTTCTCAGTCAGTGTTGACCCCTGAACGGGTGGAGACTGTATGCGGATGTTTGCTGACTAAGGCAAGTGAGGCTGAGAAGGAGAACAAGTCACACACCGTGGCTCAGCATTTGGTCCTGGCAGAGTTCGGACATCATCTCTCAGAAATTGTCAAAGCCATGTTCAACTACTGCCCACAGTAACACTTTCGCTATGAAGGGCCAGAAAAACTCTGGAGCCCTGTGGTGAACTGACAACATCTGCTTTAGCTACACAGTTAGCATGTTTGAATGTTCCACAGGCTGTTCTGTTGTTTTAAATTGTTTCCTGACATTTTGTGAAACTTTGATGAATTCTTCAGTTTGTTATATAACCCAATATAAAGTTACCCGCTAATTTTTTTATTTGTTGTAGTTGTATTTATAATAAAAACAATATGTAAGATATATGGTCCTGTTTAATGGATCAACCCTTAGCATTCATCAGCATAACACAGTTAACCAATGTAGCATTATATATGTTTTAATCTTTATTGTTCAGCTTACATTTGTCATGTAAACATTGTAACTTTTTGAATTTTTAGGTTTGCCTTGATAATTGACAAATATCAGACAAATGAAATAAAATACTACACATTGCTTTTCAACCATTTGAAATCAATTGAGTATTTTCTAAAAAGTCTTTGGGACTGCTATTTTTAAGACAATTGTATACCTTTCTGTAAAACACAATTTCTATATAGAGACATATAGTCACAGTCTTAACAACACTGGTGCTGTGAGAGTCAAAACTGTCACGTTGAAAGCTCTTAGGAGCATAAATGTACATGGTCTATTGAAGTTAGATAAATAGATCAATAGATCTATCTTCAACAGATCTCATGGTCTGCTGAAGAAATCTGTGGCACCCTTATTTACCTGGATTACTTTAGCCTGGCTTGACATAGCTGCATCTGAGCCTGGTTTAGTGTTTGTGAAACGGATAAAGCCAGAATGAGCTGATGGCTCTACTCAGCCTTGCTTTATCTCTGATCCTGAATTTCATAATCCTACTTTTGTGAAACAGCCCTAAGGTCATTTTTATGAATTTTCTTTTGATTCACACCCATCTCATATAACTGCTATTATCAAAACCTTGCTATTTTTTTCATCCGGGGGGTCTGGGTTCTTGGCTGTTGAGAAACGATTGTTTCATTGAGGTGTCGACTGTGTCGAGGTTTTAAATTTCACCCAATTTCTAACATTTTCTTGTTAGAAATTGCACCAGTTCAATACTAGGAATCACACTGAAAATTGCCTGCGCTGTGAACAAACAACCTCCACTGAAAAGTGCAGCTCCAAATGAGGCAGCTGGTGATGTTCCTTGAATTACAGGCAGACTAAACCAGCGCAGAAAGTTGGCATCATCATTCACAACTTCTCCTTCTGTCTGATTAGCCTGATAGGAAATCTAGTGGAGAGAATCAGAGAGAATTGAAGAAAGCCCATACTGTGTTGTAAAAAAAAGACTGTTTTTCCAAGTGGGGCTGCAAAGGGTTCCACATACAAACGGATCTAGAAATAGCTTCCATGTTCAGACCCATCAGTGGCAAAACGGTGGCTGACACATCTACAGGAATTTATATTTCTGTAAAACTGTTGTATCTTTGAAACTTTTCAAAGGTAAGCCAATTTCAATTTACTATGACAACAGTAAAATTTTTGTATCTGCCCTAGTCCTTTGAAATGAGAACTGGTTCTTACTGGTTCCGACTCGCCTGGATAAGCCACTGTGAAATATAATTTATAAGTGACTGATGAAGTCTGTGGGATCAAATAGTTATGTAAATGTGAAGGCGAACAGAAATAAAAAGACCACTAACTACAAATCTATTATGTCGTCCTGGGACGACATAACTTAGACTTGCAGAACTCAAACAGAGGAAGGATATTGACGTGCAGATTATTGCCATGACGTCAGCCTGTTTTTGTGCTGCTTTTTTACCTTTGAGTAAACAGGAGTCCTGCCAGGTCCCATGGGGAGCAGGATCGAATCTGTTCCTGCTTCCAGCGCTCCTCATGGAGGATATAAGAGGCCTGGAACATTGCTCTGATCCACAAACACATGCTGTGACTTGGCCACTTGTTCTCGCTACAGCAGATATGGTAAGTGCAGTTTGGTGTTTCTTTATTGCAAAGCTTTTTCTAAAAGTAAAAATCTAAATCTGAATATTTCAAGTGTCTGCAGGTGACTTTATTTCAGAGTATGTAAAATTGACAATGTAATTAAAGAAACTGGGTGAAGACTGACTTTGTACTATGATAAATAATTAAGGTAATCTTCATTAACCAATATTAATTTTAAAAAAAGTGTTTTGTAGTTTGACTATAGATTTGTTGAAATTGTATTTAGTTTGTTATATAACCCAATATAAAGGGTTTATTTAAATTCTTTCATAAAACTTTAAACAATTTTTTAAAAGTGTCTTTCAAGACAATTTAAAAAAACTGAAAACTAAAAATGTCTACAATTTGTTGTGCTTTTTGAGGAGGACCGAAGTCATATCAGTAGTATAGGAAAAAATATTTATGGATATTTATTTATTGTCATTGGTGTGCCACCCTAATAACATCAATGCAAGCGTGTGAAATGGTGAAAGGCTGTGATAATTAGTGCTCCAATCAGAAACTGTTTATTGACTGTGTTTAGGTAGTATGGTGAGTAATTCACAACTGTATTTTACAGATTCTGAAATCAATATGGATCCTTAGGTTGACAAAACTAGCAAAAGGAGGCATTTATTTGTGAATTCAAAAGCAGAATAAAACTTTAAAAATCCATCAAATCCCCCCCCCAAAAAAAATCCATTATATGTTTTTCTAATTTTTTTTCTCATTTTGTTTCTGCATGTTTTTAGTACAAACATTTTTGCACTTTGATTGTGGTAATATGCCAATTAAAATCTTTCAGCAGAAAAAGGTCAAACATGTTATGTGGTCAAATTAAATAGAACAATGAAATGTTTGGAAAATTACCTCGAATTCCATCCATCAGTCATCTGGACATAATTGACAGACAAAGTTCATGTTCACATTTAGTTGTCTTCTGTACTGCATCATTCAGTTAGCAAGGTCTTCATGGTGCTACGGTCTTTCCTTTTAGAGTCAATCATCTGTTGATTCCCTGTTTTTATACTCTGGTGATGCATTCTTGTTCCTCTGCAGAGCAAGTCACATTATACATATATTTCTCACAGTGCTTTTATATCAAATTTACCACAGGGATCAGAGTGGGGTCAGTGTTTTTTAATTTTAAAATAATAATGATAATAATAAAGTGACAAAAGAATGAGACAACCATTCAGAACTTCCAGGTTCCAGACCCATAATCTAGCAAATAAAATCTGTGACCCAATATCAACACTTTGTGGACGACGTCAGACATCTGCGATGTCAAATTGAAAATGCTTAGCTCATTGGTTGGATGGAGTTAGTGCAATCGGACCAACTGGACGTCATTTGCTCATAATGCATTTCAACGTAAACAACCTTGCGACGTCTGCGTGACTATATTTTATTTAAATGCACTAAAACCATATCACCTACAGTATTATCACTGTATTATTTTTGCATGAAAAAATAATATTTCTCAAATAAGGTTTATTGCAAAAACTAATCCGTTTCATTTCCTTTCAGATACCAAAACTGTTTCCACACAATAGAAAAGTGGTGGAGCCATGTCCAGTTCAATTTCACCAGACAAATTCATGCTAAATACAAATGAATAATACTTCGTGAGACTGATTGTACCAAAATAAATAAATAAATAAATAAATAAAAAGGTTCAGAGTCATCATGTTTAATCTAATAGTATTTGTATGGATGTTTCTGATCAGATCTGCCAAACAGAAACATTTTGTCATATTAAGAAATTGTACAATATAAAATACCACAATACTAACCTCTACCCAGTTTGGTGGCAGTTTGTGGTGACGTTTCCTGGGAATTTTTGTACAGTTCAAATCAAAGTCCAAGGAGGATTACAGATATGGTGAGGACAGAGATATGGTGTGAGAAGAATGGGAAAATGGTAAATGGCCTGAACTTGTATATCGTTTATCATGTCCAGAGGCCACAAAGTGCTTCACACTAGATTCATCTATTCAATCACACATTCACATCTAATGGTTTGAGCTACTGCATAGTAGCCACAGCTGCCCTGAGGCAGAGTGACAGAAGCGAGCCTGCTGTGCACTGGCATCACCTGGCCAGTGGATGGCACCACCAGCAACAGACAAGTTGAGTGAAGTGTTATTTATGTGAGAGGAATCACGAACCTCCTCATTTACTTTATATCTGTAACAATTCAACCTTTTATTACCTAACTCTCCTGGCATATGTACCCTCCAAAATAACTTTTTTGCTTTTGCTTACTCTTGTTTCAGAAGACAAAAGCCACAGTTATCTGGACATGCAGCTTGCTGATCTCTCTGACTGTAGAGTCCTACCATGCTCAGAAGGTAAAATTCTCCAGCTGTGACACCTACTGGCAGGTTTCTGTAACACCATCCTGTCTTACCAATAAAATATGATCTTTTCAGCTCAATATTCACTGGGGTCCTCAGTCCATGATGTACTTGAAGGGCAAGTGTGAGTGCAGATAAACTAACATCGCACTCCAACATCACAGGCATAATTATTTTAAATTGAATGTGGTTGTCCTTACAAAGCAGAACAAATGTGTTTTGAATGTTTAATGTTCCACATTTTGGACAGTACAACATCTGCATGCTCCGCCTCCCATGCTACCATCCAGCATCATGCAAACCAGCCATCAAGTTCTGCTCATACATGCTGCTGTGTCATCAAAACATTCTGTTTCTCTGCTGATCTTCACACACCGCTTTGGCTGCTCCTCATTTAGCCCCTGTGGTCCATGATGCATGTTGAAGAGACTGCTAATTTAATACCTTAATTCAGATTATCATTTCTGCTTTTTATGCAGGAAAAACTACATACTAGTTAGGCATTTTCTGTATCTTTCACTAAGTGCTTCACCCTTTGGGTGATTGCTGTGTTCTTGTGTGAACTTACTGCAGCATTGATTCCTGAAGGTCAATTTAGGCCCATTTAGTGATGTAACAAATTTAAAGGCAACTTCTTATCATGACAAGGAACTTCAGAAGACAAACATTTAGTTTTTTCAAAGTTGTATATAGTCAACTCAATCCATTCATCCAAAGTACAAACATTCCTGTTTGATCGTAGCTAACATATAGGGCAAATTCAGTTTACATTCTCAGTTTCTAAAGTTGTCATTGGAAGCACATTTCATTGCATTTAGTCAATGTCTCAGCAGCAATTCCTCAGACAGCTGAGGAATCATGAAACAACATTAAAAAGGAACTTGCTTGACAATTTCTTGTCTGTTTTAACATTTCTATTATAAGAAAAAATCTGCAAAATCTAATATAACATAAATTATTATTTTTGTTCTTAGATGGGAAAAGGTTTGTTATGGAGGACAGCACCAGTGTTTTGAAGCAGAGCCTGCAAGGTTTCAGTGGACTGATCCAAGGTACATTCACATCTCCATGTTTGCTATTTCTTCACAATTATTAGTGAATTTTCTTGTAGCAAATTTTACAGTGAGAAGATTTTATTTAATTTTTTAAAAAATATAGTCATATTGTATTTAAGAACATAGAATAAAAAACAACTGACACATTTTTACTTGTTTTTTTCTCTGTGCTCTGTAGTGCTCTCATTTGCTTCCTGTACCACAATGACATGGTCTGCCAACAAATCATAGTAACAGCATTAATGTAAATCTTGACTAGTCTCTTGCTATTGATCTACTGCAATTACTATCTACAATACCCATCATCAAAACTTTAGCCATTGTTTACAACAGAGCATCCATCTATAACAGAACAACATGATTAATAACTCTGACTGTCTTATCTGAACACAATAAAACAAGGACTTGTCATTCTGAGGCACTAACATGTTCACTGACAGATTTTTGCTTTTGATCAATTTTAAGAAAACTGAATTTTGCAGATAATCCAGACTATTTTACTGCTTTTATGAAGAGTTTTTAGAAATGCACTCATTACATCCCTGCTTCCATCATTTGATAGTTTCAGCTTTAAAGAGAGCCTGTAATGTTATTTGGGGTTATTAAACCATAGTTTAATAACTATGGTTTTTAGTTTGTTCTTCGGTTTTGTAAATGTGTATGAAAAGCATCAAACTTTTTAAAATCTTATCCAGGTCGGCAACACGTTAAACAGGATTTGAGCGTTGAAACTTTTTAAGCTATGTTTCTAGTCACAGCTACACTAGAATATTGTCCATATCAGAAGTGTTGTATGATTATTATTGCAGGTATCCAGATGCTCCAGTCATTGGAACTGAAAGAAAACCCAAAAATTCTGAGTTTGGAGAAAATCTTCATCCAGAATCTCCAGGAGAGATGAGTCACTCTGCTTTACTTTACAACCCAGCATTAAACCTGATAATAAAGAGGTTCTTTCTCAGCCTTCTTAAATGAACGCTTTGGGTTTGTCAGTAACCGGTTGTGATTTCTGTTGGTTTTTATGTATCAGATTTAGTTTTTATCTTGTAAAATGAAAAACTCTTAATAAAAATTTGAGAATGGTGTCGATATTGCTTTTTCCATCTGCTATATTTTCTGCTGAGGTGAAACAATCTGTTTGGTTTAGCTATGAATGAATAATTCTGAATTATAATTATGTATAACATTTATTAACCAAATTGCTGTTGTGTGTCATTTATTTTTCGAACAAATAAATTCTCTTAAGAATTTATTTCTTGAAGATGCAATTGAAGTGACACAAGGCTTATCATAAACCACATAGCAGTGCAGCATCCTGGATACTGGAATAAGGCCACATAACGGATGTACTTTTCTCTTTCATTTAACTTTCCATTAGCAATGCTTCGACAGAACAACCTTTGAACAAGTTTCTTTAACTATACCATTTTACTGTAACCCATATATCAGAGTCCAGAGCCTGTGAGAGTCAGGGTTGAAACATTGTAGGTTCTCTTTGGTTGGAGGTCGTCAAATCTAATCCTCGATGGCCAGTGTCCTTCAACCTTTAGATGCATCTCATTTTCAACACACATGAGCTTCATACTGAGGTCATTAGCAGGACTCTGGAAAACTTGACTGCATGATGATGTGACATGTTGATCAATCAAAGATGGTCTGAACAGATGAGTTTTCAGCCAGATCCAGTGATCCTGATGTCAGGAGGGAGAGCATCCCAACTCTTTTTTTCATATAACTCTGAGTACCAAGTCTGCAGTGTGTGTGTGTGTGTGTGTGGCTGCGTGCGTGTGTGTTGTGTGTGTGTGTGTGCGTGTGTGTGTGTGTGTGTGTTCAGTCTGTGTGTGTCAGCTGAGCTTGGTTCCAGTCTGTCTGTTTCCCTGTTTAATGTTCACACGTTCCTGATGAAGTTTGAGGCGGCGGCTTTGAACAGCCAACCAAATCTCATTAAGTTTTGTAGATAATCACATTTAAATCAGAAAGACTTCCATGGTATACAAAGTTATTTGTCATTTGGGCAAATCCAGTCTAATGTTTGAACCTAAAGTTTAGCAGAAACTCATATCTGAACATAGGCCTAACTTTGTCCTTGTTCAACCTAGTCTCCTCTTATTTGACATTCAAATTACTGGACATTATTTCTGGCCATTTATTTATAATTTTCATAAATAATGACTTCATTTAATTTATTTTTCTCAAACAGGATGTGCCACCTAAGGCATATTAAGCTCGGCATTTGTAGGTACAATGATAATTAAAATGACAAAACTGTTTGAATAAATATCATTGTAAACATTCACTGAGTAATGACAAACATACTTTAAACCATTTTCACCACTGAAGCTTCTGGTTGTCCAGCTGGAGGCTGTTTAACAAGTTAACAAATGCAAGTTAGATACTGACTACTCGTAACCTCTACAAAGAAACTCACTTTTAAAATAATCTCAGCTGTTCATTCAGGTAACCGGGTCAGTAATAGATGTAATTGCGCATTGAGAATGATAAGCTTCTGGTCAAACATTAATACATCAGAACTGGCCACTTCTGTCTTGTGCATCACAAATGAAAACAAAATATAAAATGTCAAGACAACATTGAAAGCAGTTATATAACTGAGAAAATGAGAAAAGTTCTGATTTGTCCAGAACTTAGATATTAAGTTATTACCATAAAAACGATGAAAACAGAAAGTATTACAAAGGTCACTGACTCCCTCAGAGATCACGTAATAGTTGCTAAACTGGTTTATTGTTTGCAGTTCTTCCGTTCTCTTTCACAGTCAGCAGTTCAAAATATCATTAAAATAATTTCCATAATTACTTCACTATAATAAAAGAATACATAATTACTCTTTGCTTACAGAACCTGATAACGAAGCTTCCTAAAGAAGCCCAGCTCCGTGTGACCCGTCATTCTGGTTCTGTTCTCTGGAAAGCGATGGAGAGTCCAGAACGCTGGCGCGGTTCTCAACAATGTCTGTGGTCTAAAAGGAGAACCTGTAACATCTGCTTATCAGATGTCAAGTTTACAACATCATGTCTTAATTGTTCCACAGTCATAAGTTGTTGCCGTGGTTACATGTGTCACAGTGTTATTTCGTTGCCATCTTCCTTCATGCTCTCCTGGCTGCTGCTGACTGAGTGTGCGGAGCCGCCGTTGTGATGGGACATCATGGTGGAGCTGTGGCTCAGCGAGGTGCCGAGGCTGTTCGGCATGGACACACTCTGTGGGATCGCGCTGTGCTGCCCTTCATGAGGAGAGTCCCTGTTCAGAGTGCTGCTGTTGCTGTTACTGACTGGATAGTATTTATTGGGCGACAGGCAGTCATTCTCCAGAATGAGATCACCATCATCATCTTCCTCGTAACTGTCTCCCTCGGCGATGCTGCTGCTGTAGAAAGGACACACAATTAAAAAATATATATAAATAAATCTCATCTTTCATTTCCTCAAATTATCTTTTCCATTTCCTTCCTCGTGGTAAAAGTGTCTGATGTTATGATATACAAAATGTTGGAAAAACTTTACATCATAAAGAAAAATCTAACATCCTTATATCAGATCCACACACACTAGAATTTGACAATACTGTTTAAATATTTTAGTTGTTGAATACATGGTTTTATGGTTTCTTTGAGTTGAAACTGAAAGGTAACATGTTAGGGCTGCACCAATTGCAGTTTTTGGCCGATCACTGATTAGCGATCTTTAATAAGCCTGACTCACTCATTCAGATTTTGGCTGATTTTTTTTTCTGAAATGTTGCTACGTATCTACCTTATTCCTACTCACATGAGGCTTTGGTTGGTTTATGGGTGCGACTTCCGCTGCAAACTGGAAGCGCCATTTGTTTACATTTTAGCAACTCGCTAACCGGCTTTCGTCAAAGCTTTTAGGCTATAAAATATGTGTGAACACCAGCTATCAAAGCTTAAATGTGACTATAGTGTTCAATCGCAACCTACAGCTATTGCAGGGAGGAATACACTAGTATATGTAGCTGCTTCACTGACTCATTTGCTCCAGATGCAAATGTGGATTTGCTTCTGTTGGCTTTTTATCCACACAATGAAATGATTACACATGAAGCATTTTGGGTTCTCTCTTCAAGTTTATAATTTTTAGCCAAATTCATTTTGTTTGTTTGTCTGTCGGTAGGCAATGAAAACAACTGCTTTTGTTTCAGGAGCACATTCAAAACACACTTTCTTCGGCCACAAACTAAACTTGGTCTGATTATTAGAGTACAGCCACAAACAGCACAAGAGTTACAAAGTGTAAGAAAATGGATGGATCAAATATTAAATTAGCATGAAACATGAAACGTTCATGACACCTGGAATATATTAGCCAACAATTCTTGCACTCTAAATAGAACTGTGCACACTTGTAACAATATATCCATACTGCAGTCTGAATGTGGATGCAGCTGGAACACTTACTTAATGGCTCCAGTAAACACACAGTGTAGTTGAGTATATAATCTCAGACGTATAGATGGTGGTGAGGTCCTACCTTGCAGTGATAGGATTGCTCTGAGAGGCAGGACTTGGGGAGTCATGTGACACTGCAGAGCCTACGGATCCACCCGAACCCACAGAACTAGAGTGACCCATCGAGTTTTTACTCCCACGAGGTACAACATTGTTCCTCTGGTTAGCTGGTTTCACAGTCACAATCAAGTTGTGACTGTTAGCCACCATCATGTCTGTGACCTGAAATGACAGAAAGGCTGCTCAAAAAGTACAAACACACTAGAACAGTGAAAGGACCCATGAAGACTAAGAAGCAACTCCAATAAAAGCTCTACTAAACTAAGTGAACTGAATCAGACAGATACCTGTCTGTTCCCCTGTCTTCTACCCAAGCACTTTTACACAAACCATCTCATACTAGGCATGAGTTAGCCTGGCTATTACCCTCCTGTATAACTCTGCTAAAATAATCCTTGCTAACCTGGTTCACGCCTCCAGGAAGCAATTGTTTCTCAGCAGCTGAGAACCTCTGGATGAAGCAAATAGCATAGAAAAACATCTGGTTCTTATCAGGCTACGCACAGGTTGGTTAACAGCATTAAGTTATAACAATAGCTATTCTGGAACTAGTGGATACTAACATTTTTAAAATGCTCTTTTGAAAGTAAAATTGTTATGCTAATATTTTGCAGACTATTAGCTGGTCTGGCGGGACCTGCAGTAGTGGGACCTGTGGGTCACAGGGATATACCCTGTACACTAACTATACCCTGGAGGAATTGTCATGGTTACCTACATGTTTCACCAAAACTGCAAAGGTGTGAAATGGCAAATAGACAAAATAACCTGCACCCCAGTCAGACATCGTTCTGTTCTTCTTAATGAACAGAAAACAGCAAAAAACAAACAAAAAGGACATAAGAAGCAGTTTACACAGTGGAGTCACAAGGTGGCAATGTAAGCTGTATTTCCTGTTTTAATGGTGTAGCATAAACCACCTGTCCCAACTCAACCCAGAGGAGGGGTTTCTCTGACCTGCCAGTTCTATTGCATAGTCTAAAATACAAAAATGCATTTTAGAGACAAGGAGTTTATGCATATCATTCTACAAACTCTTATTTATCCTCTTCAAGAAGAGAGACTTGACACAAAACGATGGGCTTCATTTAGCTCACTCTGCCACTCTATATGTTCTATGAGGAGATGAACGTAGGTCAATTTTGACTTGTTTTCATCTGCACTAAATGAATTTTGTGAAAACATTTGAGCAGTCTGATGGTCTATGTGGATTTGGCTCAGCTCACATCAGTCCAAGCAACATCAGTGTTAATACCAGGATGCAGGTTTTCCATGTCCACCAAAGTAAGAACTCACTTAAAGTGGTCATAAAATGATGGTGGTTCAACATGAAGGAGTTTTATCTTACCATGCAAAAGAAAAAGAGGACCTTTAGATGTGTTTTAAATTCTCATGTTGCATTTTCTAAGACGGTCTGTAGTTTTGCATAAAAACAAATCTAAAAAACACAAAAAAAGTTTGAATAATCTGAAATTTGAGGAATGAGAAGGCACCGAACGCAAAAAGGAAAATAACAGAACTTTGGTAGATATCATGTGCAAATGAGCGTTCGCCTCATTGAGCTCACTGTGCCCTTCATATGCGTTTTGTTTTCAGTTTTTGTTCAGCCAGAAATGAACAAAAACTACAGACTTTTTTCTTCAAGAAACTAACTAAACCCAGAAACAGGAAGGTAGTTCTTGTTATGTTGCTTTGCTTAAACTCTGTGGGGCACCTTTACACTGAACTATGAAATCAGTATTATATTTGCACATTTTCTACAATAAAATAGAAATAGACTGTAGAATATTTAAAACCATACACCTTTATATTCAGATCTTATACACTCAATCTTTTCAAGAAACATGTTAGCATCTCATGCAATTGTTTTCAAGAACGAGTTTTAAAACTTTAATCTTCACTGAGTTTACCTGATCTAAAGATTTTCCCACTAAATCGATGCCGTTGACTTCGAGGATTTCATCATTAACAGCCAGTAATCCAGTGCTCTCTGCGAGCCCACCGCGCACCAGGCGAGATATGAAGACCCCTGGAACCTACAAGACAGAAAAAAATATAAACAGATAGACCATAAAATATGCCCCAAGTTTTAATACATCATCAACAACAACAAAGATGCTATATGTATGAAACTGCCAGTATTGGTTGATTTAAAAAAACAATCTTATGCTCAACATATCTTTGCTTCCACAGGTGGGCAATGTTATTGCAGCCAACAGTGACACCACAAAATTTGATATGCAATACTAGATGCCGTGAAGAGCAGCTGTAGTAAGTCCTTTAAAAAAAAAAAAAAAACATTTTGCTCTATTACAGAAGAGATGTTTTAATTATGGCCTGAGTACGGTATAGTGAGCGTTCACCTCATTGAGCTCACTATGCCCTTCATATGCGTTTTGTTTTCAGTAAAAAGTGCCCAGAGCCCATTAAAAAAACCCACAAATTTTAAAAGATGAGAATATCCCTGGCATCCCAGTGATGTGTAAATATGAATATGTTGGCAAGCCTTTACATGCAGAATCAATGTTTAAGGACAGTTTTCCCTGGTAGTTCTCTTTCTGAAGCCTCAAACCTGATAAAAATCTTGCATAGTGACATCCTGGTTATGTACTTCTGCCAGTTTGTAACTCATTAAATCACTGAATGTGGACTTTTGGTTGTGCATCTTTTCTTCACATACTGACCTCTTAAGGCACTTTTCACTGGAGTCACTTTCGCCCAGGCTACATACATACATATTTCTGTTAATACGTACAAACACTACAGATTAGTATATTTGTTTGCGTGTCTTGCCCAAAGGGACATTGAAATGTGGCAGGACAACTGCTCTTCCCTCTGAACCACAGTCATACACATCAGTGAGTAACCATTACAACACTGAGGAATAATACACTGTTATTGCCTTGTGTTGATTAAGCAGTAAGTCTGATCAGTGAGCAGACTGTTTCCTGCGCATTGTCTTCTAATGCCAAAAAAAAAAAAAGCTTTTACTTTTTTCAAAGTGGAGATTTAAAAAAAAAATGTTTTGCTGAATGTCAGTTTGATAAATCAACACTGATGTACATAATCCCACTGTATGCATCCTACAATTGTTTCCAGTGGGTTAATGTCTCTGAGGCAATAAAAACAAGCTACAAACATTTTGGCGCACTCTTTAGTCTCATATTTAGTTATCATAAGGAACTCCTGCTTTTAAACAAAGAAAAGAATGATCAGTTTAGAAAAAATGGCAAAAAGCAACAAATGGGTCCTCTATGTCACAAAACTGCATTTATTGGCAAAATGCTGTTAGTATTTAGGCAGTAAAACCCAGAACCAACACAAATTACAGCCAACTCCTGAACTGGACTCATTTCAACAGGATGCTCTGTCATTATGCTCAAAGAAAATAAGAACCTCACCTTCTCTACACCCTGCGGTGTCACCCGCATGCTCACCCCATCCCGGATGTAGAATCCCAGAGGCTTTTTGGAGCCATACTTGTGCAGTCGAACTCGCCTATATGACTCAGGTAAAATATCCACGTCAATAATGGATGAAATCTGTCTGAAGTCCTGCGGAGGGCCAATCATGAGGCCCGATTTGTTCTTTGTGTGGATGGAGCCGGAACCAGCTGGGCGCAGGCTTGTTAAGCCCAGTCCTTTTCTGCGTCTCTGGAGAGAGTTGGTGGTGTAAACAACGGAGTCACCCTCTAAATGAAAACATAAAGAAGGAAGGGGAGAGCTGGGATTAGACGACAACTACATATTGAGCTTTTTTAACAGGGTCTTGAAAATATATTTTCTTGAAAATATATTTCATCCTGTGCAGATTTGTCTTTTGTCCTACTGAAATGTGGAAGATCATCAAACAAACTTTAATTTAGGACCAAAATTATCTGACCAAATAAAAAAATTTTAATTTTCTAATTGCTTCATTTATTAAGCTATCCTATCCAACCTGGTACCCTGAAAAAAAAATGTGATTGTTGAATCACAACTCAACTGAGAGAAGCCACATAAAAAAAAGCTGAGTTCAGGTTGATACTTGGATATATCAATAAACTAGAACTGTGATGTCAAAAAAGAACAAACCCACCGTGTCCTGATATAACATGAGCTTTTGAAATTTCACAACCTTGATCCCAACACACATGCCCTATTCAGAACCAGCACACATCAAATATGTGAAGTTTGATGTTCCAAAATAAATCTCTTTCAATTCCTCACATTTAGGTCAATCTATCACACAATTTCCATACTGCAGCATACATGGCAAGATAGAACACAGTAAAGACAATGACTTGTGGGGTATTAAAATAAAGCTTTAGATCTGGACACATCTGAACCAGGGGAATGGAAAACTGAAGCTTTGGCACAGATTAAACACTGACAGATTTAATCAGTCTATAATCTGTTTGCATTTGTTCAATAGAACCAGATTATTCTTTGTCTCTTTTGTTGTGTGGATGGACATATCTGCTTGTTGTTAGTTTCTGTTCTGAGGTTTTATAAGAAATCACTTTAAATAAAACAACTGCAGAATTTCAGCAACAAATCTTTTAAGTTTCACAATATAATATCAGCTGATTTGAAAATAATGGTTGAAGTTTAAATTCTGTCTGTGAGTTCACTAACCACAGACAGAATTTAAACGGTCTGGTTTACAGAAAAAGATATTTAAATACTGCTAACTCCAAACTATGTCATTCTCATAATAAGTCTTCATGTACAGTAACGGAGAAAAAAAAAACTATGTACTTGTTGCAATCATAAAAAAAAAAAAAAACTAAATACACCCCATGATAAAACAGTCTGTACAAACTTCAGTAGCTCTAAACCATTTTTTTCTGTATGGGTTTATCAGTCTCCTGCGTTGTCATTGGAGGAATTTTGGCCCACTTTTCTGAACAATATTGTTTGAATCTGCTGAGCTGAATAGGTCTTCACTTCTGTACTGATTTCTTAAGGGCCTACTACAACATTTCAGTCAGGTTTTTCAGTCATTCTGTTGCAGATTTGCTGCTGTTTGGGATCATTGTCCTGTTTATGACCCAGTTGCATGTGAGGCCATCTGTCATGCAGATGATCTCACATTCTGCTACAGAGGCTGTGCACATACACCCCAGATGACAGTGAACTGCAAGGCGCCACATGCCAGAGGCTGTAGAACCAACCCTAAATTACTACACCTCCACCTCTGTGTTTGGCAGCTGCTTTGAGACATTACTTCTATACCAGGTTTAGATTTCTCCAAAAAGCCACAGCTCTCATCTGTGCTGAATCGCTTAGTTATTTGAGATGTAACCATATTTGTTTTGTGAAGAGCCATTCTTTGGCAGCTCTTCTTACAAACCTCACTTTCATCAGGCTTTTTTTCTAAAATGTACTGAGACAATTAACAGCCTCAATTAAAATGATAATTGAGGCTTGTAGAGTCTGAGAATCTTCTTTGTTTTGTAATTATCCTGACAGTGGGATGCTTAGAGCTTCAGTCTCACATGATCTATTTTAACAAAACATTTTTCTGATTGGACATCAAATTGTTTGAAAGAGTTGTTTCTCCATCATCCTTGGATGATGGACAAAGCATTTGGTCTATTTTCAAAGGACAAAATGCTTAGAAGATGCAATTCTAAGCATTTTGTCCTTAGAATTGTTTCATGACACCTTCTGCTAGTTTTACAGAGGTGGTTATACTTGCTGATGATCAATTAATGAAGTTCATTTGATAAACAGCACCTAGCTGTTCATTCTATAAAGGTAACAACGATGAACTATGGCTAAGCTAATGCTAAATCTCACCCTTGAGAGCTGTGTACCCTCATACATGCAAATCATCTCTGTGACAGTCAACTCTGATCTCTGGTATTTAACAAAACCAGTTTTTTGTTCTCACATTTCTTAGCCACAAATCAAGCACAGAAGGGCAAGAACACCAGATAGTAATACTTACTCAGAAAGCAAGCATTATTGAATGTGCTGAGTTGCAGGTGTTCAGGGAAATATCTATATCACCTTGGAATTTAGAAATATTTATATTTCCCTGAACACTGGATCTGCAACACAAAATGTAAAAGTCTTGCTGAGCAGGAGGCTGTGAAGGCCAATCAGAAGCACATGATTTCTGCCCTGCAATAAATCTCCAAAGTTAATGCCAGATGTGATCTAAATTCTAAAGCATACCTGACAATGTTATTATCAACCCTTAAGTGGTTTTGTTAAGTGCCACATCCACTTAATCCTGGCAGGGCCCTGGGGAGTTCGTAGGCTGGGTAAACCCTACATCTGTTGTCACAAGATCACACAACTATCAAGAGCAATTTCGAAAGAAAAATTAATCCACGCCGTCATTCAGTGTGTTTTCTCTATGACCATATGCCAGTAACAATAACAGAGATTATGTCAGATTCAGACTCATAATGATACATGACCACCACTTCAGGTCTTGATTATTGTTCCCTAGAACTGTCCCGAATCAGCTCAAATAGATTTATATATTATTAACAGATAATTTGTTCTAGCTCCTATGGATAAGGATGCAAAGGCAGGAGCAAAAGCAATAGCCACCATAAGAAAAGTGACTTCGATAGGCTTAAAACACAAACAAATCACTTAAACTTGAAGGTTTTTCTTTAGAAAATGTCTTTATGGTTGCTGGAATTATTAAAAACACTGAAAACTAGCAGAGAAACATTAGACACTTCCACTACTGGAGAAAAATATTTGACATGCTGCATTCCTTAAGACAGGAATTTGTATTCCTAAAATACAGAATCTATTTTTTTTCCCCAAAGGCAAAGATAATCTATAATGATATTTCCATTTCCAACTGAGGCCCAACAGTGGTCATATAATCATTAGCCACATTAGTCAGACATTAAGTCATGCCAACAGTTTTACCTTTAGGTCTTTCATACTTTCATACAAGGTTCAGGTGTCAGTAAATACAGGATTGTATTTTTTGAGTGAAGGAGCTTAATATGAAAAAGACATTAACCTGAAATATAAAACATTTCCCCCACAGCATCTCACAAATCAGACCAGTGGTGTTATGACCTACTAGCAGAGCTGCTAGAATGCTGTTTCTATAACTCTTACAACCTCAGTATGTTATGTTCTTCTTTCAGAAGCTAACTCTGGTGATATGTGCTCTTGTTTCCTAGTCTCGGTTAGAAGTTTCACTGCTGCATTTAGAAGCATCTGAAGAAAATTATTGTGATCTAAACCCTTTTATAGAGCTGCAGTTATCCAAAGGGCTGTAATAACAGTATGAACAATTTCTCAACATTTTTAAAACAGATGCAGGACTTAATCTTAGCTAAAAGATGTTAATAAATAAAACTCAATGTAATTACATGACTCAGTTATTTAGGCATCTTCAAATGGCAGTCAGTGGCAGAAAATAGAGATAATGTTCCAATTGTTGTTTCAGGACTAGCATGAAAATTCTTCTGTCCAATTAAAATTGCTTTGGTTTTCTTTTAATTACTTGAGGTTTTTTTGTTTTGTTCAGGTGAAGAAAGTTTGAGTTCATCCATGATTTGGTGTGAAGCAAGGATTTTAGTTTGAAAGTTGAGGTGATGAGGTCAGGAGAATTGATTTGAAACTGACCGTCTAAATGAGGAGTGGAATAAAGGTTAGTTCATTCTGAGACCTGACACACTTCCTCATGTTTTATTGGGTAATCCTGAAGCAAAGTGTGTATTTCTGTTTTCACTTGTTCTTTTTGTCTTGAGCCTCCATCTTACTTTCCCTTTAATCCTTCCTCTACCAGACCTCAGAGTAAATCTGATTAAACTGGCAGCTGAGTGTAATTTGAAACAATACCGTCTGCTGAGCAGCAGATTAACATCATTACATCATGAATTATGACAGACATAGGGGCACAGCAGCAAAATCAAATGAAACACTGCATTGCTTTTAAAAACTGAATCCAACTCCAGCTGAGATAAACGAGAGCGAAACATTTAGCCTAAATCATCCCACATCTATTACTCTTACCTTTCTTTGTTATAATTATCCGCAGTACGGGATTGGCTGAAGAAACAGCTTTGTGGAAGTTTTCATCATTGTTGATTGGGAGGAGATCTCCATGGATGTCAGCGTATTCCAGCAGCACCTCCACACCGCGGATGTGATGGATGTTTTGGAGGAGGTGGTAGAACTCTTGGAAGCCACCGAATCCATTCCTCTTCAGACCAAAGCGACGGTACTCTGCCTCAAACTGCACACGTCAAAAAGTAACCATCAGAAATAATTCTTACAAACTATACATGAACTATGCATCTGTGTTTTAATTTAAGTTTCAAACCCCATAAGTCATATCTTAACAGGGCCGGCCCAACGCAGAAGCCGGTTAGGGCCCCAAGGCCACTAAGGGGCCCCCTCAGTGGAACTGAATTTTTTTTTTTTTTATTAATAATTTCTATGTCATTATGATATCAAAAACACAGAATTCCACTATGAAGTGATTTGTTTTTACAATAACAGATATTTGATAATGTATGTAGAAATTTTATTGATTAAAAGAAAAATAATAAATTGCTCTCGGGGGCCCCTAGTGGCTGCGGTAGATATCGGTAACATGAGCTGCCGTGCAACGTGCAGAGCGCATCCAAACGTCCAAAGCTCCAGTCAGCAGTTAAGTCAGAAAAACTAGGTCTCAAAAAGGACTTATCCTTCAGGGAGGGAGAAAAGAAAGAGGAAGAATCAAAAAAGGACAAGATAAGGGTTTATTTTAATGTGTCTTGGTAATGTAAAAGATTTGTAAAGCTATAGATTGATTGCGTCCTGGAATGGTCCAGTCCAACAGCCAAACATTTATATTACGGTCTTTGTGTTTGTGTAAAACTGTTTCAGCTTTAAATGAGTTGATTCTCATGGTTGGCTCTGTATATTTCTGAGGTATTTTGGCTTTAAAACGCTTCTGTTTGATAACGTTTGATAAGAATAATTAAAACTTCTCAATGTTTGACATTGTCTAGCAAAATGTTTTTAAGTCAGGCTCCATGGCTGCTTCATCGATGAGCTGCTCTATGCTGGAGTTGGTGATTTGTTGTGTGCTGCTGAGCATAATCACTTTGTGGCTAAAACAAACATTATTTTACATCAACTTCTAAGTTACGAGAAACTTCTGTTAAAATCATTTGAATGTGCAGAATCAGTCCGGTACCGGTACATCATCAGGTGAGAAAGACTGGCCTGGTGTAAATTACATTTTAGCTATTTGAGTAACGCTTAAGAAAAATTTATTTAATCAAAGAATGTGACGAATATGTGTCGAAGGCTGCACCGATTGCAGTTTTCTGGCCAATCCCTGGTTACTGATCTTTAAAAAGCCTGACCTGCTAATTTTGATTTTAGTTGATATGAATGTTTTTTTTTGTCTGAAATGTTGCTAAATATAGCAAAAAAGTCACTGAGTTAGCAACAACGGGGTGAATATTGTTAACTGTAAACATTCAGACCTGACCTGGTGGGCCGGTCTGTCTGTCAAACCTCTCACTGCAGAGCAGAAGAGGACAGAGGCTGATTTTAAACCTTTGCTGACGAAGGTTGAAAAACTTTCGTCAGCAAAAAAACCTAATAATTATCAGGATAAACATAGTTATTCTGATATGTAGTTAAGTTTGCTTTTCTGAAACACAAAATGTATGTTCACAGTAATAATCTGAGTAATAATTACTACACCTTTAATTAGTCAAAAGAAGCAAAAACTTCAACATAAAACAGAAAATATGTTCTATCTCAACCCACCCTGTTACAGGTTTGGTAAAAGTTCAGCCACTTGCCAGTTTCACTGTAGGGAAGGCCTGAACGTTGTGTTGTTTCAGGTCAGGTTCAAACTGAGGGGATCAGCGGGAGTCTGGACTGACGGTAACAATGTAAGCTTCAGGCGGCGACAATGGGCAAAATGCAGCTTTACACAGACAGGCTACCCGGTCGGCCTGGTGCCTGAATGCGCCATCTGTCTGCTATTCTGTCGTGACATTTCACATGTTTACCTCGGGAAACTGCAATGTCCGAGTCTTTCTGCCGCTCCGTGAAACAGAAATGAGCCGGTTTCAGCCCCACGCTCCGGGGAGACACCGACAATCTCAGCTGAGCTACAGCGCGGGGTTCTGAGGAGCCACGACACGAACGACACCTTCTATCCTCCTGTTCCAGTACAGTAACAATATGAACGATGAAACGCAGCACTCACTTTGCTCTTGACCTCCACCGTGTTATCAACGTGTCTGACGGGCGTCCGGTGCTGCTGCTGTGACTGTCTTGACATTCTGCTCCTCGGTTCTCCGCTCGGCTGAGGCGCTGCAGATAAAAACATCCACCGGAGCTGGGATACGCGTTTCCTCCTGTGAGACTGCGAGTCCAACAAAACGGAAGGCTGAGCGTAGAGTTGACTCCGTGAAAACAGCAGGCGCTTCACCTGAGGTGGTGTTCCGTGTTCCTGTCAGTCCAGGTTCAAATCAGAAGCAGAAATCAGCCGCGATTAGCTGCTGCGTCGCATTTCGTCCTGAGTCAGCACGCGCCAGTGTTATTCCCCCACGACACACACACACACACACACACACACACACACACACGCAGTCACGCACTCGCTCATGCGCACGTGCACATGCAAAAAAGAAAGAGCGCAGCCATCCTGACAGGTGGAGTCTAGTAGATCCGGTATGGGACGTGAGGTGCCAGTTGCCCCACACCCCCAACCCCCAACCCCCACCCAGGGCCAGACAGAAGGACGCAGCAAAAGGGGGCGGGACGAGGCATCAGGGTAATAACACAACACCAGCCAGCCCTACTGTCCCACTGATATCCACTACTGTCAGCTGCAGTACTGACTGCATTTCTGCACACGTCATAGCTAATCTTAGCCTAAATTTCTTGGCTTCCAGATCACTAACCCCCCTCCACCCCTCACACCCCCACTACCCCAAACCCTTCTACCCCACTATCACAGTGAATACAAGGTGGAGTTACCTTGTGTGTCAGAGCTACAGTTGTCATTCTCTTTGTTATTCAGTGACGTTTGCTCATTCACCTGAGGCATGACAAGAATTAAAACCATCTGGAGCCTGAGGCTCAACATACCTGAAAAACCTGAGTTTCCTCCCTGCTTCAAAAGTGTCATGTCTGAGGCCAAATATGTTTGGGCCAATCCCAGCAACAAGAAAGACAAATAATACAGACTTGGAAAAAAAGTTCAACCTTTTATTTTAAACTGAACTCATTTTATAGAGCCATAATGAGGAAGAATGGGAATGAGAATTTGAGTGATGTTACGGCCATCTGTTAGCATTTCAGCGCATGGTTGGAAAAACAGAAAACATCCAGTGATTATCCAGGGAGGGACAGTTCTGTGGATAAGAATGTCTTGTTGATGTCAGAGAGCAGAGAAGAATGGGCAGACTGGTTGGAGGCAACAGTTGCCGAAACAGCAATAACACCTCTGAGCACATTGGGAAGTCATTTTGCATTGGAAATTTGTTGGTTTGATTTCAACTTCCTCCCACATTTTCACTTCAAGTTGCTTAACATTGTTGCTGTATGACTGCAGCTGGGCTCTAGTGTAATGTTGCTTTGTGTGGTCAAGTTTGCTCCATTTATCTTAAATCAGATGGGGCACTCCAGAAGACTTGTGTTGACAAGGTCATGGAGCTGTCTGTCCAAGAGGATCACCAAAAACAGTCCCTTCAGGTCAGAATTCAGCATAAAGAGCATAAAAGCATGGCTGGTTGTGTGATAATTGTGAGGATATTTTCTGCTGCTGACAATGTCCTTGTCTTCATGAGTTTAGTGTGCCCATCTTCTAATGGCTACTTCAGAAAGAATGTAAAACATTACAAACCTATGATGATGTGACAGTGGCTTCATGAAAAGAACAGTGAGAACTTGGCAGCTAAAATCTTCCAGATTTGAACAGCCAAAACTTATCTAAATCTTCTAATTCCTGACTCCAAACAGACAGTATTCCCAACTATATGTTGAGTTTGCAAGTGTTAATGGTATGGCAGTTAATAAACAGACAAAGAAAGTCAACAACCAATACATTTCACATAATCTTCAATCACACTTGTTTATTTATTTTTTGTGACACAGTCGCATCAACATGGAAATGTTTCCAATACTTCCTTGGTTCTATGCATTGAAGAATTAAGGTGGTTCTGAAGCCAAAAGGGGATCGATCCAACCAGGTATTAGTATAGAAAACTAAATAACAGAGCAGTTTAATGGAATTTTACACAAACAAAATCTCCACAAAACTTAAGAATTATGGCTTGCTGTTAAACAGATGGAATGTTACTTTTTAAGAGTTAGTTTTCAAGTATTTGCCATCCAATGTTATTGTACATTTCTATAGCTTTCAACAAAACAAAGTTGAATTATGTTTTAATATTTCTTATTAAGTAAGAAATATTAACTTAATCCTCACAAAGACAGGAGTAACAACTGGTTCACAGTGACATTTGGAAATGGTTGCCTACCACATCACCAAGTGTGTGTGTGTGTGTGGGTGTGTGTGTGTGTGTGTGTGGGGGGGGGGGGTGTGTGTGGGTGTGTGTGTGTGTGTGTGGGTGTGTGTGTGTGTGTGTGTAAGCTGTTTGCCCCCCTCTTTTTCTCTTTTTACTCAGTTTTGCTTTCTCCTCCAGGCTCTTAGTCCTAATCATCTCAGTACCAGGCGGCACCAGGACCCGGGTGTACGTGTTCCTTCAAAGGAGCTCAACAGACTTAAGACACAGATTTTACTTCATTCCAGGCAGAAAAACGGAAAACTGCATCATAAACTACAACTACTCTGTTGTAGTTTGTGATACATTAAATACTGTTTATTGATTTAATAAATGCTAAAAGTATGTTACAGAGTTCTACAACTTAATGACTCAATGCAGGCTGCTGGGTTTAGAAACTTTTAAAGCTACTTTGAATAACTAATTGTACTGTACTGTATGATGACTATGATCAACTGGAACATGTTTTTTGTAAATGCCTCAAGATGGCTTTTGTTGTGAACTGGCCCTATGTAAATAAACTGAATTGAACTGAATAATAAATGTTTAAAACACATTTTGTTAACTATTTCATTTTGCTGCTGAAGATGTTCTAAAACATTTCTCAAAAATTTTTTTTATAGGATTATGCTTCAGTTTATGTATATATTCAGTTTTCACCAAAACTATCCCAGGCGTTCAATCATTTGCAGTCCATCTACTTTTTCATTTTAACATTTTTATCCCCATGCCAGCTGGTAACGGTGGCTCAATTATTCCTAAAGCAAGAAGCCATTTTGACAGCAAATACATTTTAAATATGCCAGTCGATTAAAGAGTGCTTAACTTATTTGACCATTCAACATTTGCCAATTGCTGGATTCTGTTTGACAGTTGAAAACAACTATGTAGGAACTAATAAGGAATCCTATAAAAGCAGGAATTTAAAAGCCAACCATAGTTCCTCTAAAACAAAACATGAAACACATATAGGGAACAAAGTCTCTGAAAAATAAGAACTTCAAAATGGTTCTTGTGATCTAAATGCTGTTTTCAAAATGATCACACAGCAGGAACAGGACAGACGAGTATCATCTGAATGATGGAGGTGTGGGTGGGGCTAGTGTAATATATGTATAAATCTCCACTTAATGAAAGAGGAAATGGTATCATGGCTAAAACCAGCTTAGTACAAACTTTATGATTTTGATCTTGAGCCAATAATTCTGTCTTGTTGTCATTTCCCCTTTAATTTCCTTTAAATTTCATGACATAAATTGCTAAAGGGTTTTCATCAAAAAGTCTCCAAATGACTGAGACATTAAAAAGGAATGTAGTTTTTAAGCCAAATGTCCCTTTCTGTGAGGTGTGTGACATCAGGTTCATCCAATGTGGATCTATTATGTGTGGTTTGACCCACCCACTGGGCAGGTCGTACCCATCTGACTGGGTGTGGAGCTGTGGAAGGACTGGTTTTTATATCTGACACAACTTTATGTGAATCCGGTCGTCTTTCTGTTGCATTTCACCCATTTGTCTTTAGAAGGACAAGAAGGGAAAAAAGCCTGTAGAAAACACTTAAAGGGATTGTTTGAATTTTTAATAAAGGGAATCTATTTACAGGTAGTCAATAGTTAGAATCCTGTCTGTATCATATAAACACATTAAACCGCGCAGCTTAGCTCGGAAGTTTAATCTGACCAGCCAAAAACAGACTTTTTAAATTCTAGGAAGAAATGATCCCAGCAGAATGAATCCTTTTGCAGTCTGCATAAAAACCCAAATACATTAAAGTTGAAGCTGAAGATCAGGAAATATCAGGAAGAATGACTGGACTGCCTCCACAATTCTCTGAACACAGAGTACATCATGCTAAATGCTTCAGAATGGGTTTTCACACTTACATCCATATTCACATCAAATGTCTCTGTTTAAAAAAAAAAAAAAGCAATGTCTGCACTTTTGACATCAAATGAGAAGAGCAAACCTTCCCCCTCCATGCTCACCACTGTCTACAGAGGGACAATAGAGAACAAATTGACCAGCAACATCTCTGTCTGGTTTAGATGTCTGGAGCATCTAACACTTCTGACTGGCAACGTATAGAGAGAGTGAAGAGGACAGCTGAGAGAATCATCAGGACTGAGCTTCCTTCCATCCTTGTCACCACTCCCATTCGTTGCCTGTCCAGGGCTCAGCCAACCACAAAACCCTTCCACCCTCACTATGATCTGTTCTCTCTGCTGCCCTCTGGGAAAAGGTTCAGCAGCTTCAAATGCAGAACAACCAGCTTCCACAACAGCTTCATCCCTCATATCATTAGACTGTTAAACTTCCTTTAAACTCTTTATTGCATATATTTATATTAATACTACTTATTTGTTTCAATAATATTGGAGACTGGCAGTGAAATTACATTTGAATGACAATAAAGTCTGTCTTTGTCTATTCAAAAGACGAGCTCTAAAATTACATGTAATTTTAAATACTTTGAAAGTTGGAAGGCCTTGGTTAATATTCCACTTGTCTGATTCATAAACCCTTCTGCGTCTTCTGTACCACATGAATTTTTTCTTACTCATTTAAAAGAAAACGAGTAGAGGAACAAGTCACGAATAAAATGTTGTCAGAACGGAGCAACATCAGCTTCAACATTCCATGCAGTCAAAACACGGCCCTGTGGAATGCTGACAAACGTGTCTGATTATCAGACTGCCAAGGCCTTAGACCTGAACACACAGTGTCACACACAACTGTGACAAAACACAAACACGCACAAACACACACCCACACACACGCACACACGCACCCCCACACACACACGCCTACACACACACACACACACACTCAAGCCTTCATTTTCTTATTTTAATTGTCAGGGATAAAAATAGAAACAGAAAGACGTTTTCCCCTCCAAGAAGTTAAAATATTCTTTCTTGAATCTAGATGTTCAATCTGAACCTTAATGAGATCTGTCGAGGTTCCTCCAGCCATTTCTTAGAGTTAGAATTCCTTCAAATATGTTTTCTGTCAAAACAGCACATTTATTTATGATTTCATTTTTGCCTGATGTTTGCTGATATGGCTGTACACATTTGATAATTAGCTCGACTGTTCAGATCATTAACTGTCTTTATTTTTTCTGAGCCTGAAAGAAATGGGTGGAGGAGAGGATTTTTATGAGCCATTGGGTTTGACATT